GACCCAGAAATTGATTTAACTGTAGGTATCGAATGCGAGGTTTTTTTTCCAAACAGGATTCTGCTTTCATTTCTATAGGTTTGGCCATCTTTTTGGTTTAGAATAACTCTTTCGGCTCATGCACAGGGGCTATCGTCTTTTTTGGCGAAAAATTCTAAATCTGCCGAGATTTTTGACATAGTCGATGCGATATACCGCATGCCAGTTCGACCACTCCGTAAACCTTGACGAATCGCCTTAAGAGAATCGAGAAATCGGTATTTTAATTTTACACTGGAAACTATCTCGATCGTCCTCAAAAATAAATGCAACGAGGCACGTTTATTTTCCGTTGATAAATGAGGCAAACTTAATGCAGATTGAAACGGCATCTTTGAGCACAGTAAATTAAAACTTTACTTTATTCGATCTTGGAACTAAGTTCGCTTTTGATCTGCAATCAAGGGAAAAATGAGATTAATGCAGGAAAAACTCTAACAGGATTAAATCTGAAAGACTCAGCGTCGATAGACTCCTGATCAATTTTTTGGACTGATATCATCGATTTTTATCTACATATAAAATTCAAAGAGAGCAAGTATCATGCAGGTGGTTAAACTTGTTTTACCTATGTTCCTCAACATGGGCAAAGCTAGGTTATTTTGCTAGGGAGAGCCTGGCCCTCCTTCTACTAGTGGGTCTGAGGGGTATTCAATAACCCCCCCCCCCCCCNCCCCATTCGTAAAATTTGAACTCTGATAGGATGCATTTTGAGGCTTCTAGGATGCAGATTTTCCATCAATTTTGGAGGAAAAACTACGCTTCTTTTACTTTCAGATGATATATTTTTAGTTCTGGACTGCAGGGGGGGGGAGGGGGAGGAGATCCTTTGCCACACAGTGAAAATAATTTTACTTTTCTCCTTAATAGCAATGATCTAAGACTGACTGCCAATTGGTCACCTACATTTGTACAGGGATGGCAGACATGAGAATGTCTCACTATAAGATACGCTGATGACTGCAATAATTCCATTAATCAGAATAAACCTGGAAGCAGACTTGAAAGGCAAGGTGGCAATGATGCTAAGTCAGTTAAAAAGTTTCCTGCCAAACACCACTCCATAGTTATACTCCAGTAAATGCGCTGCTTGTAGCTTAAAGAATGAACCACGTAAATAAAATGAGGGATATGATACCTACTGTCGGCGTAGGTTAATAAGGTACACAGCATTTCTGAGATGGCGATCAAAATGGATTCATAGTTTCAAAATTACATGAAAATTTGTTACACCAATGAACTGTGCACTGAAATACCTATGGAAGCAAATTAATGAGCTTCAGCAATCCTTAGCTTCTTCAAAAATGTCACACAATCCCTTATCAGAGACTAAGGCCTCCCCTAGTTCCATTCCATTGCCGAAGATGCTGATACCTGGTTTCATGATCAATCGATTTTGTTGACTGACATGAACATTAAAATAAGATCATTTATCATCACTCGAATTGGCGTGAGTGAAATGTTATGCATTGACCTGTGAGTGCATGCACAGCGTTTGTTTTGAGAGGTTAATAAATACGATCTGGCGCCGAATCGATAAGGGATGAAACTTGAACTTAGTGGCTCTTTACCTTCATGATGATGATTTCAAACAGAGCGTTTTCCTTCCCTCATGAGATGCAAATAATCCAAAGAGTAGTGTAATCCACAATTCACTTCACATGAAAACAAATCCGCACAGACGAAAGTGTCTTTCCGAATCAACAATTTGGTTCGCGGAAACTCGTGAGAATCGACATTCACATGTGATATTACTCGCGATGCGGCAAGGAACAAATTAACATATTTACAGGAAAACGAACGCAAAAGCACTTGTCAATACAACGTGGAGAAACGAAAACCGAAGCTTGGCAAAAGCACGTTGAGATTCAAAACAAACACACGGCGGCCCACGCGGTAGAAGCTGGCGAGCGGAGCGTATCTCGAAAACTGCCGAGCGGAGTGGAGAGAGAATCGGTTCGGGAGACTCGTGAGTAGTGGCGCTCGGTGGAATCTGCCGGAAGGAGGGGAGGGGTTGAAAGGGGAGCAGCTGCCGTTGCAGTCTGGAAAATGGACGGAAAATACAATGCCTGTGCGCGGGCTCGTTGCGTTCATTGCGTTCTTCCTGGAGTAGTTTCGGCGTTTCCTGAGACTGTCCCTTTCACCTGTGACTCACCGTTGGGATTTGGTTTCTTTTTCGATTCACCTGGAGCCTGGAGCTGCTCCCTGCCTCGCCGATCCCGCCATCCCTGCTCGACGGTTCAAGGTCGACCGATGCGCAGCGCCACGCTTACTCCGATACGGTGGCGGATTGTAGACACGTATTCTAATTTTTTTTTACGTTACTATTCATGAAAATATCAATTAGTGTGAACAGGTAAAATTAAAACGCAACACAGGTCCCTAGCAGCAGTGGCTGATGAGAAAAGTTGTAAAAAACTCGTAAATTTTAAGGGATCTTTTAAAATTTACTTTAAAACCACTTGAAAATTACGTAAAAAAACTCTTGAAATATTCGTATAAGGAAACACCTTTTTGGGGCTTTTTTCCATAAATTCGAAGAAAAATTTTAAGTAAATTTTAAATAGATTTTTACGTAAATTTTAAGTAAAATTTACGTATTTTTTAAGCTTCCTGCGGGCAAAAACGAGGAAAAAAAGTGGTGAACAGTAAAGTATATACGGAGCAGTTGCAGCCCATAAAAATTGAGGATATAATTTTTTTATTTTCACGTAAATTTTACGTTTTCTTTTAATTAAAATAACACTATTTTTTTACTTACAAGAAAACCCCAAAAGGGTTTCCTAAAAAGAGTATTTTAAGAGTTTTTTTTACTTAAAAATTTCCGAACTCTTACAATTTACAAGTTTTATACATTTTTTGGAAGAACTTTTTGTAGAATTTTTTTAAGAGTCATTGCTACCAGGGGTGCGTAAAAAATCTTCAGATTGTTCGTGCACCCGATTATGAAATGACCGAAGGAGTGGAGGTTTAGACTCAAAAAGGAAAACAATTTCTAAAATTATTAATTTGGGGGCACAGCTCCCACCATTCCCACCCCGGCTCTCGCAGTTGTTCATTAAACGATACGTCGATAGCCAAACTCCGATTGCAACGTTGCAGACTTCTTGTCATACTTCATTTTCGTTTGGGAGGGTAGTCAGCGTAATTTCTTGAAAACTGCCTGAATTTTTCTTCTCTATTCGCAGAATATTCTGTCAAATTTCAGGCTGTAACTTTGACTGGTTTCTCCTCGGAAAAAAAAACCCGGAAATTTTGAAACATTTAAAAGATGACTGGTTTCGCACTTTGGTCGTCGGTATAATGCACCTATGCGTGTGCTCACCAAATTTTTTCGAAAAAGTACGAATGTTTTAGAAAACGTACAGATGTTTTCCTTTGAACAGAAAATTTTATTCTCGATCTTATTCGGAAAGTTCTGAGAATTCAAGGAAAGGCGCTCTCAACTTTTTCTACCAATTAACTTCTTCATTGGACGGAACTTGACGATGTTATGAACACATGAACATTCATCAATGGACACCCTCTGACACTTTAGGGTGGTATGTTTTGCCTATCTACTAATTTGAAGGCGTTGCGATTGAATTTGCCTTGCTTATGATAGCGGCTATGAATTGGTTAATTTTAATGCAGTAAATAAACTGAAATCACAATTGAGAGCAATAGAACACAATTCGGCTTTTGGTTTATTTCCAATTTTAATAAAATACTCTAATGTATCGCATCTTATATTTGATTTAAAATGGAAGGATGGGGAGGGGACTAGGGGAGCCGGCAAAAAATCTCTGCAATTTTTGGATTCCCCAGAACGGTTTTATATTAAAGGCAATATCTTGCTCCATCTATTCCCTTGAAACATGAGAGTTTTGATAATTTGGTGCCAGCACTCAGCTCCAACAGGATGCATTAATGTAAAATGATTTGATTTACAAGGAGAAATTCATGGGAAAACCTACCCATGAGTTAAAGGGATGAATTGGATTTTAGGATTTCAGCTTTGAATTAAATGCTTATGTACTGGCCTAAATTGAAGCCTGAGTAGTAAAAAACATAATTCAACCTGGTAAAGATATGTTTTTTCCCCCTGAAGATTGCGATGGATAGCCTTGTTTCAATTGATGTAGCTCAAAGCGAGAATTACAGCGAGCAAAAAAGTTTCAAAACTTCCTTTAAAAAGTAGACCCTGTTCGCATCGAATGTGCTAGGAGAGTAGGTGTCGCATCGAATGTGCTAGGGGAATAGGTGTCGACTAGGTCATGAAAAAAACCCAGTCTGACCTACGTATCACTTTTTAATTTCATTTTTCTTTCTAAATTTATCTTTCATTTATTTATTTTTTTATTCACCTATTTTCCCAGAGTAATTGATATTAATTCGTCCTCGTTGCAATGAACAAATAAAGCAATAGCTATAAAGGACTTTGAAATTTTACAAGGAGAATAAAAGCTAACAGAGGGACTGATATTATCCTTGATAGGTGTAAACTCAAATTTTCATGAAAGACGGATGAAATAGCAGCAGAAGTGACCTGACTGAACTGACTTATTAATTAATTCATACAATAAAAATAATTCTTTGACGAAGAGGGGATAAGACATGAAAAGATGAAAGGAAAGGAAATAAATAATTAAATAGTTAAGTAAACCGGGCGTAATACCCCGGACTTCCATCTTATATCTTCTATTACTTTGATGATTTCAGTTAAGTAACGTTTTAAAATGGAGTAAGATCTAAATTACAAGTATCTTTATCCTTCAAAAAGAGGAATAGTTCTGTTGCTCCGCAATGTATGTATAGTTGTATAACTGCAAATTGAAGGCGTTTTCAAATGTCGGATCAATACATCTCAATCAAAATACGACATACCGCGCGCCATCTATTAGCGTGAATGTTGAACTACGCTTATCAACTTGTTTTCGCTTTGTTTACAAACATTTCAGTCCACAGTGATAAAAAAATTTAGAACACACAATCATTTTCTTGTTCTTGTAGCATGAAGTCCATCAATATAGCTTTGCCAGTCAGTCTAAAGACTTTCATAAGTTAGTTTTTTTAAGAACAACCTCCTCTTGTTATTTCCTGTTTACTTATAAGTGGTGGAATGGCTTCTGCTTCGAGCACCAGTGCAAGATCTCTGTTTGCTGAGTCAAAATCTCGTTTAGCTGCCAAAATTGAAATAAATTTGTGCAATATAGCCTCTGTTTCTAGACATATTCTAAAAGGTTCAAGATCAAGTGATGTAAGTATCGAATTCTAAAGGCACATTCTAGCAGCTTATATTGCATATTCTTTAGCACAGCGGTTCGGCTGGGATTAGGATTGGTTTCACAGGCACTAGCTGCTCTAATAACTTAGTGAGCACTCCCCATTATCAGCGCTTTTCTACGTAAGATGGAGTTTCCACTAAAATGAAAAAACATGCGCAGAAGGTTGACTTGAGGTTTACAGGTCTGTCGTCAGAGCGGCCCCAAGAGCGAATTATTTGACAAAACCTTGACTGCACGTAACTTATTAGTCAAGTCCTTAACATCAGCAGCGAGCAACTTCTGCAAAGAGGGGTTGGTCGCATGCCTTAATAGAGAACATTCATATGGGCCCAATTCACATGGTTTGATTACTTACTTGTCAAACTTCTCCTCCGACTCTATCAAATAAAAATTGCCCCTATTTGAATTACTTCCACAGTGCAAATTTTCATCTAACAGGTAAAATTGGAAGAAAAGTTGTCAAATGTTGGACCGTTTGAATTGGGTTTAAGGAATTGACCAAGATCTCTTTGGCGGAAAATCCTCAAAAGGTGACAGGGGCATCTTGATCATCGGACACGTATTTGGGCCTGAGAGGTGGGAAAAGCCTTACCCAAAGGCTACATTGTGCAATGTATAATGTCTCTTTGCACCTAAAGAAACTAATTTGAATGCAAGTCAATGATTCGAATTTGATTATCAAATAGGAGGCTGCTTCATGAGGAAGAAATAGTGGCAATACCTCTGAAGGTTACCTACTTAGAATGTAAAATACCAATGAAATGTACGATTCTGTAGCGTTAGCCATGTATTTTTCTGAATATCTAATAAATAAATAAAAAAAAATCAATGTTTGATTTACTACTTTCATTCAATATTAGGTTCTGTCCTTCTTTTTTCTAGATTTTGATGGGCTCTGCAAAATCATTTGCTGCAATGGATGGTTCAATTGACGCAATAGAATCAGTAAGTAATGATTTACATTACAAATTCATTTTGTATCCATGTTTGTTGTGGTTCAGAAAAATTTCCTTAAGCTTTCAAGAGATCATTTTAGTTCTTGCTAATTAGACTCTTTAATGCTACTTTATATCACTTGTAAAGAAAATACGAGGTTTTGAAAACAAAGTTACAAGCATGAAATATTGGCTTCAAGTACATTGAAAGTTGCTGATCTTTCTAATGTGTTATAACTTTTTATTGTTGTCTAGAATCTGCACAAGCTGCAAGGTATTGAATCTAACCTGAGAAATCAACATCAAGCCATTGAAAATTCTCTCCATTACGTTGAAGAGGTCAAGGAACAAGTGAGAGCGATGCAACGGTGAAACCAAGTCACTTATGTTTTTTGTCACTTAGAATTGTTATAAATTATGGGAATTTAAAAAGGTCTACTATTATGTTGCAATTACTGGTTCGTTAATTCTATTTATTGTTTGTTCGTTTGTAAAATATTATTATTGAAACCCAGTTCCTGCTATGTCAAGGCATGTGATTATAGTAATTAAGTGTGAATATTTGCCTGAATAAATTTAAGTTAATGCCTTCCTTTAAGATTGTTTTTACTCAGTTCTTTGGTTCCTCTTATCAGATTTTAAGAATAAGCACACATCCAGAGCCTAGTCTCCAGTGAAAGTGATTTCTTCTATAATAGACGCAAAGTTTTGAGGTTTCAAGCCAAAGATACAAGCTATTCAACTTCAGCTTCAGTGTTGGGTTAGTGACACTCAGGAGCGATGTGTCCTATTTGATATTATCTTGTAAAAGCGAATGAGATCTAACATCCTTATGATGTGGCTATTGCAAGTTGTTGCCTTCATTAAAACTTAGACAAATATTTGTCATAATTTCCTTTCAGAAATTTATTTGAGAATTCGTCCAAAGTTTTTCTCAGCAACTCTTGAAGCAATTTTGCAACCACTCACAACCATTCTACAAGTAGAGAGATGAAGGTGCACAAGCAGGCTTTCATGATTTGTTCAAAAATCTGAAACAACTTGTAGCTTGTAAATTGGACTTTACTGCAAGTTAACTTGGCCTGAAATCGTTGCCTCATGAATAGGGCATACAAGAAACTGGGGTTCAAATAGCTTCAAAAATTCCTGAGGATAGAAACAAAATTGAAAGCGAATAAATTCTTCCAACAAATTGAAAGCGATATAAACGGAGAAGAAGCTTTAGAGGAAATGACTGTAAACTACAATTAAAAAAGTAAAAAATTTATCACAGACTCAATTAACCTAATTTGTTACAACTCGTCATGATTAGTTGAAGTTATTTTTTGGAATTCTTTGTTGTTAATCACAGATTTGGCACAAATGTTAACTAGTTTGATGAATTCGGGTACGTCAAATTCATAATTTGTGAATTTTGCATGAGCTCCGCCATCTGGATGGTGACCCTGAAACATTCAATTTCAGATAAATGAACAATGGACCCTGGTCACTGTTGAAAAAATACGTAAAATGGGAAACTATGTATTCTGTCATTTTCTTCCTTTATTTGTTCCCTTCCTTAGTTCCTTGAAATGCTGCAAGGTTCCATTACAAGGTGATGACAAAAGGCAAAAACTAGTTGTTTGCCATCATAATCACGAGGGTGATCAACTTAATCTTTCGAGACTTAAAATATTTGAGAGGGTTGCGAAGCCAAAAGGTTTACTTCCTCTCTTACAAAATTGAGCTATTGGTCATACTTCTGCAATGTTTGGCATCATAAATACACACAATGTCAATTTGCTGATTGGGCAAAGTATGTAGATCTACAAAGCACAACTCTGCAAATAGACGAAACTAGCTCAAAATTCCGATTTTCGGATGATTATGAGCTGCTCCTAAATCGATCGGAAGAAATGAGGAAGAATCAAATAAAAACTTGATCTTGATGAAGTTGACAGAGGACTGAAGAGAATTTGAATCTGATCAGAGACAGTGCTCAGGATGGTTCACCTTGTTGGTAGTATTTTCAGAGGTTAAAATTCAAAACCCACCTTTATTTATTTATTTTTTAACTTGAGATGTCAAAATAAGAAATTGCATTATTCTTTCCAAGAACGACGACTTACTCCTTTAAATTGTTTCAAATTCCTTGTTGAGACATTGGGCCTGTTGCATGCAGCCAAATAAATTTACACTCTCTTCACGAGTAAAGTCGAACGAAAGTCGTCAAAAATCCATTCCTTAACGCGCACTTTACGTAGTTTGTAACACGCTTTTTCAAGTTTCCCAGGTCAGCGCGCAATTTTTCTCAGTCACCGCCAACCAGGTTTGCACAGGCAGAGGAGTAAGAAAAACAGACCTGAGTAAACAAACGACTTCACTGAATTTTTCTATTGGATGATTTCAACGGTTTTCAAGCGTTTTGTTCCTCTGAATTTCTTTATTTTGCAAAAACAAAAGCTCGGAATCAATTAAAAACTTACGCAAAGAGAGTTTATAACAGTTCGTCAGATTGTTTGTTTATTTAGATTAGGTGTGTCCCTGGGCAAACCTGACTGTCGGCCACCAGGAAAAACTGCCCGCACATGCAGTAAATTTGAAAAAGTATGTTTCAAACTATGCAGATTGTCCCCTAATGAGTGAAATTCAGACTTTTTTGATGTGCCAAACGTGATTTTCGACCGACTTTCACACAACTTGTCACAACAACTTTTTCGTGTTTCACCTAAGTTAAATTCAGTTGAGACAAGTGTTCCGATTTCATTCCCTGACCTAAAATTCCATTTGATTATAGCCCCCCCTCAGAGCTTTGGAATTGAAAATGAAAACAGAAATGTAATCTCACCTGATCCTGAGGTTTTAATTTCTTAACATCTTGCCAAGTCAGATAAAAAAGACCTCTGAGCCTGGCTAGATCAAGGTAACAGCGATCATCTTCACAATTATACCTGCAAAGAACATAAAATGCTGAGGATTATCAGAGTACCTTACTTTACTTCATAATGGAGATGTTAAATGTGTGAGGAATTCACGATTTGACTGTTGATTCTTATGTAAAAGTTTTCAAGAAATACGATGGTGCCACTGGTTTTCTCTGAAATAGACTCCCAAGCTCAAAAAAGCTCTCAAGTTGAGACGAAAATGGAGGGTATATCCCAAGCTCTCCTGAGAAAGAACTGAAAACACAGCATCACTGCTAATGTATTTGCTCCCTATCTTTGCATGGAGAGTTCGTCTTGATGTAGAGGTAGACTCTCAGGATAGCGTGGGATATCCCCTCCATTTTGGCGTCAACTCGAGAGCTTTTTTTGAGCTAGGGAGTTGATTTCAGAGAAAACCAGTGGCACCATCGTTTTTCTCGCGAACTTTTACATAAGAATCAACAGTCAAATTGCAAATTCCTCACACATGCAACATCTCCATTTGAAGTGTCCTCTTCGCCTAGAAAATATTTTGAGTTATTTCCCCAAAAATAGACATGACAGAACCGCTCCATCACTGTACAAAGCTCAATAAACTATTTTTACTAACTTCAAATGCTCTTTCAATAATTTTATTGCAAAGCGAACAGATGATTTACACAGATTCAAAGGAAAATCGTTGTTTGTGTATAGCAGTGTGGACGAGATGAGTTTTGATAAAAAAGTTCTTTGTTCTTATTACAATTTCTTTGTTGTTGCAGTGTCAACAGTCATCTATCAAAAATGAAAAATAGGACATAGTCTTGGACTAAAGAATAACTGAGCAACCGTGAAGGATCTGATGATTTCATGATAGAGGAGGAAGAAGTCAAAAACTAAAAACTTACAGTTCAAAAACTGCCGCCCAATCTGGTAGGAAGAGGAGATGTGTTAGACCGGCTCCATGCATTCCTATGAGAACATCTGAGTTGCGGATGACTTCTAATTGCGTTTTAAAGTCCGTTAAATGGGTGAACACAACCTGGAGAAAATAAAGAGCAAATTATATACATATACAAAATAGATCTTCTGAAGCATTAAATATCAATAAATAATTTTAGAAAGTTTATTTAATGTATGAAAAAAATTAAATTCAACTATATTGAAAATTCCCGATAAAAAATATTGAAGGAAGTGTGCCTTTCATGGCAACATTAACTTGATCTATATTTTGGTGATTCTATTTTCTTCAACATTAAGTGAATTATAAATTATAGAAAATGTTGCATCGTTACTTTGCGGAATATGCATCATTATGACAAAAAAAGGCATTAATTGTTTTACATCCTGTCACAGAAAAATGTCACAAAGAGAGAACTACACATAGAAAAGAAAGCTTTCAAGGCCTGCTCCTCTATGAAAACAGGTATGATCCACTGTACGTTTTTTCCCAGAAAAATTTCAAAATCTTTGAAACCTTAGACTTGCTGTTTAAGTCTTTGCGTCAAGATTTAGAAATGATTGGGATCAAATAGACTCTGTGCAAATCGCTTTCAACTCATTGAAAATATCGATTAAATGGATGTTATTTTTGAGTTGCTGAGGTTACTATTTTTCATTATCATGTTCCTAAATATTCAACATCCAAGTCTTATTTTTTAGATCTTTAGGTCTTATTCTTGGATATGAAGTTTAAGTAGATGCTTGTGTATGACTTAAAGATTAACAAATTGACTAGTTTTGGTCTTAACAATAAGGAAATGAGAATTTCTTGCTATGTACTTACTTTTTGGACAAAATAGCGAGGATTCTTCCGCAGAGAACTAAGGAGAGCATCTTCATTTAAAACTTTACGGTATGTAGTTTCCCTTGACAGAAATGCTATTCTCACTTGATTATTTTTGCGAGGATGGAAAGGGATTTGCAGACGATGTACGATGTGTTGGGAAAATGCCTTAAAAAGACCACTCTTTTCACAGCCATACATCTGAAAGACCACAATCAAATCAATCTTTAAACAATGAAAATGGTAAACTATCACTATAATTTTAAAAAGGAGCTATCCTGAGATGTAAAAAATTATACTGAATGACTGATCAAAAAAAACCTGAGAATTTAAAGGTATAGTAACCTGTTCGAATGGAATAAGATAATTTACCAACTGGTTTAATTGCGCATCTTTAAATTTTAATTATTATGTTGGTTCTTGCAGCATTTCAGTCATAAATCTATTTTTGGATGATAGTTTTTCTTCATACATATGATGTTGACCTATTTAACCGTATGGTAGTTATTCATCAACTAAATTGTCCACTTATTCTCCTGTTTGAAGAACCAATAACTAAAGTCAAATGAATGCTAATAGGTACAAGAATGAAACCAAAAATATTATTAACCTTGTCCCGTTAGCTGATGCGGCAAATTTTTAGAATGGGTAGATTGTTTTTTTCTGTTTTGGAATCATCTGTTTGATTTTAAGTGAAAGTAAAATTATGAATTTGAATGTTTCTTTCTGTTACCACTCATTGAAAGGTACATTTAGGATCAGTGCAAATTTTGAGGACATATGATCACAAGTTCATATTTACTAAATGGAAGCAGATTTATCTCAGTAAAATTATCTCCAAAGTTCAACTGCGATTTTCTCAAAATCACATTTCATTTTTTCTAAATTTTTGAGTGATCTCCATGCCAAATGAAGCCGAACCATCCCTCATAGGTAGTGATGAAAGTTTCTAATTTTTTTAAATTTTTTACAACTAGTCCCTTTTTCCTGATTTCATCACATTATATTGACTACAATTGAAAAATCAACAAAAATACATGAGATAAATGCCTTCTAATACTTACAAGAGGAGTATTATAATACAACCCAAAAATCATTCTAGGTAGTAGCGGGAACACAATATTGCGAAAACATACAGTTTTTCCTTTGAACGTTTTCAGATTCCAAATAGGGTATCGAGTGAATGCATCCCAAGTTGGGGAGAAAACAGAATGATACTGGTAAGATTCCCAAATGAGAACATGTAGCTCATTAGAGAACATACTAGGGTGCGAGGCATTCACGTGCTGAGAGGCATATAGGTTGAAAAAATCACAGAAATGATGATACATGTTGACTGCTGGAAAAAATCAGAAAATTCTATTAAAGAGAGATAAGGGGGTAGAAGATTTCAAGGATATCATATAGGATTCAAGGGCTAATATTGCTAGAACATAATGGGAAATAATATTGAAAGTCAGACTAACTAGAGACAACACTACCATGCTAAGGAAGGACGCCGTAAGAACCTTCAAGAGTTGCAAAATTTCATCAGATATAACATGTATTTTTGGATAAAGTTTTGTATATTTATCCTTGAAATTTGCAGATATTTTAAATGCAACTGTGAAGAAAATTGCCTGAAAAATTTGAAGGAAGATATTCAAAATTTTTACAGTGAATTCGGTTTTTATTGAAAGAAATATAGCAATTTTTGAAGGCTCATAAGGTGTTCTTTCTTAGTGCGGCAGAGCACTGCAGGGCCTTTGCAGCTGAAAGTCATGTTTGAAACTTGTTTAGGTCCCTTCCTCTATGATTCTTTATAACAATTGGAGGGCACATTGGCATAAATAAAAAACTAATGGTTCATCATCTATTGGCTGATATTATCAAAATGATCCGAATTGGAAGGGGAGTGATTGGGCTCTCCCTTTAAGATCTGAAACTAGTTCCTCTGGAGACTTTACTGATCAGTTTCACGTAAAAATTAGTCGGTGATGATTGAACCGTCAGGTTGAGAAACAAAACTTACTGGCATCTATTTTCATGACAACAGTTGGCTTATCAATAACTATATCACAGTGTTTGCTTTCAATCGGTGGCTGGGAGAGACTGGTGAAGAACCGTAACTCAGGTGCCCAAGACTGTAAGGGGCTCACATGTTGAACCTCCTCCTTCAATTCTTTTTCATGCAATCTAAAAAGATATAAAAGTAAAATCCATATAAACTACAGTTTCAAGACACTTCACCACAATTTCACAACAAATGACACACAGAATCTGTGCAAAGATAAAAAATCACACGAGTGATGAGCTTTCCTTGGGGGAGGCTTAAACTTACTATGGATAAATTCTTATATTATACTCTTAAAAATATTCATATATAAAAATACATTCTGATAGTTTTTACACTCAAAATTTACACATGACAACTTGATTTTTGTGAATAGGTTATTCACAAAGTAAAAAGTAAACAAACAAAACACTATCCCTTCAATGTAAAAACGCAAATGCAGCATTTAGGCCCACAGAAAATTTTTAAGCCATCTTTATGACTGACACGTTGGAAAAATAAAGACATGAATAAAGCTTGGATTCCTTCATTTTTTAATAAACAGATGGTGGGATGAAAATTTATTGGCTTATAACTTGACATTGGGAAAAAATTTAGGAATTTTGTGTTTGATACTAACCTGCAGTGTCCACCTATCTGTCCTTCGTGTAAAACATCCATCTTGTACCGAATTGGTTCGTCACGGTTGGCTAAATGCGTGAAATTCATCATAATGTTTCTTCCGCGACAGAATCGTAAGTATGAGGAACACTCAAGAGACGAATCGGTCTGAAAAGTAAACGGAACATATTATTGATGTGCTTTGTGTAGATAGGTATGCTTGAATTTATTCCAATTTTGATAAGAACACGATCAATAATAAATTTGATATTCCTCCACTTCTGATTAGGTATGGATTTGAATTCTTCAGATTAAGAACTTTTCTCAAGGCTTTTTCTAAGTCTTCTTTAATTTTATTTTTTAAAACCACACACTCAAAATTAAATATTCTTGACATATCTTAAGTTCTAGGAGTGGACGTATTTTGATTTTTACAATAGGTAGTAACATAAATGCTTCGTAGGAAGTTTGGAGGCTAGAATTTGGATCTCCACTTGGTCACCAGTATGAATTTCATTAGCTTTTAAAGGGGGGGGGGGGTAAGTTGGGGGACAAAGGGGGACTTTGTAAAGGGGATTTTGATGCAAAATGAGTTCATTGCAGTACAACTAATGATGGCATTTTCAACCAAAAACATTATAAAAATTTAATTGAAAATTAACAGTTTGTAAAAAATACATTGTCCATGGTTATTTTTCTGATGAAAGCAATTGAATGGTATGATTGAAGAAGGGCATAAGTGCTGCGAGATCCTTTTAGAATTTATGCTGCTCATGCGGTGAGTCATGATATTGCTGGAAAAACATGAGACTAGCAGCCTCTTCAGCGAAAGTATTCGTCCAATAACCAATGAATCAACACTAGATTATAATTCATTTGCGCTTTTTTAACATTTTTATTTCTTAAATGTTTATTTTTATTGTCTATAATTTCTCTATTCTCAAATGGTTGGTAAGTGCTGGTTACAATATCTGTTTATCTGAAAAAGGCAGGGATAAAACTGTTCTTACTTGACCCAATGGAGGTTGAAAAGTAGGAAATGAGAATTTATGATGGTACCTGCTTGGATGCATCACACAAGACCTTCATTTCTTTTCGCTGCTCTTTAACATAACCAAAATCACCTTGGTTATAAAAAGATTCTATTTGTTCTTCTTTGGATTTGACCCAGCCTTTATGACTCCCTTTACAGACAGGAGTTGAAAACTGCTGATCTTTGACACAGGTGTCTTCGTAGCCCCAACATAGTTGCTTACCGACTGCATCCTAAAAATGTTAGAAAAAGAGAACGTAAGAGCAATTTAACAGAAGTAAAAGCTGAAATTAAAATTTGACAATATAAAATCCTCGAAGGAAACATAACCCTCCTCAGTGCTGAGATAGCGAATTTAAGACGAAGATAAAATAGGGCGGTGAAAGCAGGAGAACAGCCAAAGATAGGAGATCTTTTTCATTTCCAAACAAGTCACTCTGTAATTTTTAAAAGAGACCTTCAGGAGCGCACAAATTGGCACTAGTAACCTTGGTCACACTATCAATATTTTCAAGAATATCTCACAAGTCATGCGATTGGAATAAACAATTGGCCCGCTAAATATTTATAAAGATAGACATTTGGGTGACTTCGAGATGTTAATGAAAATATTGATAGGTAATACATGGTGTGATCAAAGCTGATAGCTTTTTACCTCCTGAAAAACGTTTTTTGAGAATGTTTCAAAAGAGAGAAGTCATGGTGCTTTGAAGTCCGTCAATTGAAAGCTCTCTGCTTCACAGTGAATAACGCTTTGAAAAATTTGATAGGATGCCTGATAAAACTTTCTGATTTTCCTGACTGTCCTGGGACAGAGTTTGCTTTACACTTTTGATCTCATGTTAAAGAGGACTATTTCTTCGAAGTCTTTTAAAACTAACAAGGGGAGCTTCCTTGGCTGCCGCCTCCGGCTGAAAACATTTATATGAACTCTTTGGGTGAATCCATTAGGACTGGGTTTTGTTGTTCTTTTCAATTTGCCTTGGAAACACCCCCGAAAAATCCCAAAAAGCTTTCTTTTGAGCGCACACTGATAGTGCAGACTTGGGAAGTTTCCCTAGTAAGGTAAGAGTCAGTAAAGGTTGTCAATCAAACTTTAAAATTCGAGGGTTGTGAGGGAGGCTAAAATTAGCGCTCCGATCGAAATTTCTAAGATTAACTCTCCTGAGTAAGATGGTCTAATAACCCCAGCAATTCTTTGGGGCGCATTACCTCTTTTATGTTCTTCAGATGTGCTATTGAAAGCATGCTTTCCTGCTATGAACTTGAGCAAATCACAAGACAATAAGAGTTTGTTTCAACTGCTCTATAAATATCAAAATGTACAACACCTGATCTGAATAAATAATCATTGCTGATGTGCAAAAGTATGAGATAAATATACCTTGAACGGACATGAGTCACTTGTTGAGCAAAGTTCAGCCACCTTCGGAAACTGATGTAAATAATAAGGCACATGCTCAGGGCTAAGATTCAAGGTGGTAAAGTCGAAGCCAGTGAGGTCTTCTGCAATTCCTTCTGATGTTATGAATACCAGAAGTAAGTACAGGTATAGATTATCAGGATTATGTTTCATCATCTAACATTTGATGTGGTTGTTCCTTCAAAGACAGGTTGCGATCCATCAAAGATTCTTTGGTTTACGTTAGTCTGAAAAATGTAAAAAGATAGTTTTTATAGAAAGATACATACAAATATCATCTGAAAATGATGGTGAGTAAAAGAAGTCGAAAATTGCTCTACAATTTATATTTTCGCAATGCTAAGCCAGTTACTTGAAAGTGAACTGAAGTCAGAATTACATGCCGTCCAAGTATGATTATATAGATAAATTGAAGGGAGAGAAACAAATTAAGGAAAAACTTTACCTAAAATGCAAACTAAAACATATAATTGAACACACACAACTTAGAAACGATAAAAAAATAAACAGAATAGTTCACAGGTGACATGCAGACATGGGCGATTGTTTACATCATTTTTCGGAGGTTAGGTTCTAGCCGGAAGCGGTCAAAAAAAAAGTTCACTACTTTGAACCAATCAGCGCTCGAGAACGAAATTGGCGCCCGCGGGAAGTAGGAACTTTTCAAATATGCCAGGGAATATTTAAATTTGCGCGTCCGTCTTAGGTGAGCGCTGCTCAATTATGGGGGTTATTATAAAAGTACTGAACCCCCCTCCCCCACCCCCAAAAGGCTTTCCCCATTTCTGAAGTTAGAGACACCTGATCGCCCGTTGATGAAGGCGCAGAGATGCGACTATTCGTGCTTGATGGATGTCCGTATTGCATCTGTAAATTTGAAGGCGCGATGATGCGTGCATGGATTCTTCAGAGCTGCGTTCTCGCCAATGAGGTGTCGCTCCTTTTCGGGAGAAAAGTTAATAATCTAAGCCGGATTACGTCTCTTCTGTCTTCGGGTGTAATGCTCAAGTGGTCATTCAAGCACCACTACGAATGAGACAAATGGAGCCAACACAACATGGAAATAGAGCATCGGAAAGGATGTGCATTGATGACGGCGCAGAGATACAACTATTCGTACTTGATGGATGTCCATGTCGCATCTGCAAAATTGAAGGCGCGATGGCGCGGGGCGTAAACTGAGAACTCGCAATGCGGCGCTCTATGCTGCCAATGAGGTGTCGCTCCTTTTCGGGAGAAACTTTAATGAACGGAGCCGGATTACGTCTCCTCTGTCTTCGGGTGTAATGCTCAAGTGGTTATCGAAGCACCACTACGAATGAGACAAACGGAGCCAACACAACATGGAAATAGAGCATCGGAAAGGATGCGCATTGATGACGGCGCAGAGATACAACTATTCGTACTTGATGGATGTCCATGTCGCATCTGCAAAATTGAAGGCGCGATGGCGCGAGGCGTAAACTGAGAACTCGCAATGCGGCGCTCTATGCTGCCAATGAGGTGTCGCTCTGATTCTAGAGAAAAGGCCCGAACACGTCTCTCCTACTTTCGGCCGTGTTGAAACTGAATTTTCTTTTTTAAAAATAATGTCTGATTCTTTTTTTTAAAAATATATGTATGTTTGTAGACATATATCTAAAGTTTGCATGTACCGGTCATTTTATACACCCCGCGGGACACCCGGGGCAATTTTCCAGTCAGAAGTTGCAGTTCCTAATTGCAAAATATGGTCCAACTTCGCTGTCTTTAAAATCTGTGAAGATGTTATTTCTAAGGAAATGAAACATGCCTGGTCGCAAACTTCCACGATCTGAATATTATGACGTTATTCTCTAGCGGTGGTTCAACAACCACCAGATCCGCAAGGATCGTGGTGACTTGCGAAAATAGCTACGTCACAATTGATAATTTCGACGACTGAGCGGGGATCACGATCATTGAGAAAAATTCTCCTCTTCTCATTATCATTTGGTTTTTGTGTGGAGTCGTCACTATCGAGTGCCTCTGGAGTTGCGGCGAGCCATGTGTCTAGCACTCGGAATAAAGCGTCAGTTGATTGCAGCAGTAGCCTGTAAGTTTATCCCTCTCATGCATATTACGACCTTAAAAGAGAGAAGAAAAATAACAAAAATTTCTCATGAAGTACGTTAAGGGGAAGAAGGAGGGATGAATTTACTACTTGTATTGTGAATGATACGGTAGCCATCAGTATTTTGGTTCCAAACAGAGCACACAACCCTAGAATGCTTGGTAACGGAACTGAGGGAAAAAACCCCAATTTCTTATTAAGTATCGCAACGTTGTCTTACCTTGCTGAGTTAAGCCTCAAAAACACGTCGATTTTAGGGTGTATTCAAACTGTAAGTCCACTCAAGTAGTACAGATTGCAATAAAGAGCAATTAAAAGGAAAAATTATTGCCACTGTATTGCAGTGTTGTGTATTTTGTCTGTTCACTAATTGAAGGGGCCCGTCTCATTGAAATGAAATTGAAATGAGTTACAATTTTTTTGAAATGCAAACGACCTACCTTTCTCGCAAGTTGGACTCGTGTTAATGACCGTTTAAAATCTGCATTTTTTGACCAAACGATGTAAAAATATTGCATTTTCGTGGTAAAAATACAATATTTGAGGAGCCGTTGAAGTTAACCCGAATCCACACTTTCTCGCAGCGTATGGCACGCGTTGATGAGAGGTGAATGAATGGAAAAAAGATAGGTTTTTCTCTCGCCGGCTGGCAAAACTAAATAAATAAATGACTTAACTCAAAGTTTATATGCCGCACACAACATCCAAATCTCTGGCGATAAAAGTTATTTTTATAGTCTGTGTCACGCGTCTTCAAATAAAATTCGTGATTATCGCGAATATCAAATTTTCCCAGCGGCGGGCAGTGAATCTCTGTATTACTGATGTCTTCTCTATTTAATCAAACACTTGTCATTGGTTTTTTTTATAATAGTTTTTGTAAAAAGGCTAAAAAGTAGCCTTGTGTAGTTGAAAGAAAAAATAAATAAATACACTTTTGACAACGGCCATATGATTGTAAATGTGAACATAAGATATGGTTTTATCGTTGGATGCTTATTGCCTAATGCTTTAATCATACGTGGTTACTGAGATCAGAGGTACCCCGATGATTCACCACGATTGCAAATCGAGGATCGTTCTGATTGAAAAAAACAGCCTTTTCCCTCCTCCTTTTCTTTCTCCTCCTCCGCCTCCTCCTTTTTCTTCTTCTTCCATCTCTCTTTTTTCATTAATTTATTTTATTTTTATTTTTTTACTGGAAAACTTGAAATTTACAAACTGCACATTCTAAACACGTGTCTTATTTTAGTGAATCCAACCTTTGTTTTAAATAAGAAAAAAAAACAGAGCCAAATTCAAATTCACGAGGTTGACGTATAATTGGACCGCGTTAAGCAAAAAGGAACCAAGCCACATCAGCTATTGCCGAATTGAACTCGAAAATTCTATATTTGACAAAAAAAAGTTTTGAGCGGACTCCTTCGAATATTTTTAAGAATTTGCATCGTACTATGTGGAAAATTAACTGAAATTTGCACCAAAATCCGCACAACCGTTTTCATGTCAAAAAATTAAACTGCCTAATTAAATTTGGCAATATCTGATGTGGCTTGGTTCCTTTCTGCTAAACGCGCTCCAATTTAAAAGGCAATACATGTAGACGACAGCGGACAGCGCTCACACAACCTCGGATTCCAATGCTTTATGAGAGGTTGTCTTCTGGCCTACCTTGAAAATTGAAGGCGAAATGGAAATTTCCGTGAGTTAAAGCATTAAATCAACTCTCCCTACTCTAAATTTTCATTTAGTAAACGCTTGCAAGATATTGATTTTTTTTTATTTTTATTCATTTATATTTTTTTATTTTATTTTTATGGGATGTGTTTAATCCCCACAAGTGATATAAAAATAATATCGTTCATACTGTACTTCTTCCGACTCCGAATCCTGACCCCCCAGAAGATGTGAGCGAGTAGCAAATTAATGAAAAATCATAGATAAATAAAAGCTACTAATGTTGTGCTCTTAATTTTTTGAACGTGCCACAGGCGCTTTGGCAACGCTAGTGGGAGGTATGATAAATGGCTGGCCGGCTCCCACGTTGAAAAAACTGCGTCAGCCCGGGTCCCCGATCCACCTGACGACCGAACAGGAGACATGGCTCGTCACCGCGCTTCACGTCGGGACCCTCCTCAGTCCTTTTCCCGCCGGGTTCATGATGAACAAACTCGGTCGCAAGGCCAGTCTCCTTGCTCTCGGGGTCTTGCCCGTCATCTCCTTTGGCCTCATCTACCTCAGTACCACTCCCGAGATGCTCATACTGGCTCGACTTTTTGCTGGACTCTGGGTAATTTATCATTCATTTCGGTGGCCCCTTCTCGATAATCGTTGAGCGATAAGACGTACTCTCAGGTAAGCGTGTGCGTTCGGCTGGATCTAGTGGCCTGGTTACACGCCCAAATTTCCGTCAAATTCCGATCAAAATGATGACCAAGATGGCGGTCGAGAGTTATCTAGATTGATGAGTAAAATTAATTAAAACAGCGTGTTGATTGAAATAAGCATGAAATAAGCACGGCTGTGTGGAAATCAGATGAAGGATGAGCCCCACAGCTCCATCATCTACCGTCAAATTTTTGCAGGCCGCAGAAATTTGATGGTAGATGGTGCGCACCAGTCACCATTTGATCGGAAATTGATGGAAATTTGAGCGTGTGACCAGCACTTAGGGCTACTTGAGTGATTTTGATCAGCAATAGAAAATCAGTGTGATGTAATGCCGACTCAACATGATGTCAGTATGATAACATGTTGGCAGAGAAACCAGAGTGATATCAGTATGATGTAGCAAGCACAGAATATAAGTGTTAGGGGTTATCCCCTAAAATTGTGGACGCAACATTTGGGTTATTAACCTAATTTATTGGGGTACCGCCATATTAATTTGAGGTGTCCAAGTTGGGACTTGATATCCGAGTAAGATATTGCGCTCATATGGATTGCATTTTGCAAAAAGGAACCGAGAGCATTCCAATGTCGCTAAGATTGTGCAAATGAGTTTACCTTGCAAATAAAAACAATGATCACCCAAACAAATTTTATCTTTACTCCCAATAACTATAAATTCAAGACGAAAATTGGTCACTTTAATTTTTGTGCACAATACCAGTAACTTCATTGCAAAGATTGTAAGTTGCACAATACTAGCAATATTGAAATGCTCTTGGTTCCTTTTTGCATAATGCAATTGGTATCACACTGATATCGATGGCCTGGCCAAAGTGCGGAACCACGTATCTCCGTTTACGACGTTGAAGACTTCGTGTTACGTAAACTTTACTGTTTCCTTGGAAAACTAGTCAACGTAATTCCTTGAAAAACACTCTTGATTTTTTTTAATCAGTATAGCAGAATATTCTGTAGACATCACCTCGAAAAAATAGAATAGGAGCGGACAATTTGAAACACAGCAGTAGAAATGCGTGGTTTTGTACTTTAGCCATCGATATGTTGATATTATACTAATATGCCGATATCATACCAATCCCTGGTAAAAATTGGCGATAGAACTTGCGTTTCAAAATACCGTAGGAGCTCTTATGGCCGACTGAAGAAGGCGATAGAAAATTATATAGCTGGCTGTAGAAAGTGGAAAAAATCATACAGCCGGGCTACACGAAGCGATAAAAAATTATACAGCCGGGCTATAGTTCCTATCGCCGAGCTTTACACTTTATCGCCTGGCTGTTGCTTTTTCGCCATCGGCTATAAAAGGCTATAAGAAATTGTGTAGAAATTCGTGTGCTTTGCAAATCCTTAAGTTTGTACGGAATCACCTCAATATTTACAAAACGCACATTATATATTCCTTTACTACATATTTTTTTTTCATCAATTAAAATGAGAATGATCCATACAGAGCGTGCAAACATTTCAAAGACATGAGTCCACGAGATTAAATATTAGAGCCTAACACAAAGCGGAGCGGCGGCACACTGGCGCCTACAAACCTAACAGGGATACTTCACGCATTGCGCAATGCGTGAAGTATCCCTGTTAGGCTTGAAGGCGCCAATGCGCGTTTCGCGCTGGCTGCCCGCCCGCCGCGCGGCGCCGCAGCGTACCACGGCGCTTGAAGCAACTGTTTCACAACAGAGGTATTGCACAGTATCATACGAAATTGCAGGCGCTCCAACATGTTAGGAATGGCAGGTATCCTTCAAAAGTACGGAGCTTTCCTCTCAAAATAAATCAAGATCCTACCGCCCAAAAAGAGAGCGGTAGTCCAAAAACTCACTAAGTCCTAGCATCCGTAATTAGTAACGTTTAGCATACACTTTATCGCCAGGCTGTTGCTTAATCGCCATCGGCTACAAAAGGCTATAAGAAATTGTGTTGCCGGCTAAAGATGCTATTGGAAATTTTATAGCCGGCTGTAGGTCTATGGTATTTTGGAACACAGATTCTATTGCCAATTTTTATCAGGGATATCAGATCGGAGAATCGGCCTATATACATACATTATGATATCATACTGATCGACTTTACTAGGGAGCGTTCAACAGTGGCACGGTTAGCAAAGAGTAAACAAGAGCCGCAAACAAATTGAGAGCTGAGTGGCACCCCGCATCCCCTACTTTTTACGAGTTGTTTCTGATTGGCCATTCCGCCTGGTGTCCACTTGCTGGGGCCCTCATGAAAAATAACACGGGGCTTATTTTGCATCGAAAATATCTCGGAAACAAGGACAAAACGCGTCGGAGATTTCAAAAATTAACTCTCCAGATTTTTCTGAAGAGATTGATGGGTAATGCAGGACATTTTTTCTTCAAATACACTTAACTTGACCTGGAATTTAACTTGAGTAACTTCAAGTTGAAAAAAAAAAAAAAATTCCAGGTCCAGCTATTTGGTGTGTTTGAGAGAAAAGTGTTATGCATTACCCATCTTCAGAAAAATCTGAGGAGTTAATTTTTGAAATCTTGGACGTGTAAAATCCTTGTTTTCGAGAAATTTTTGATTAAAAATAAGCCCCGTGTTATTTTTTACATGGATCACAGCAATTGGGTGGGCACTATGATCAAAGGCGACTCGTAAAAGTAGGGGGTGCCACGGTGCTGCCATATTTACGGGGTGTCCTAGAGTTCATGATTAAAGAAGGGTATCGAAGTCTTTTCAATAACGATATATAGACTTACAACTCCTTTTCACAGATATTGAAGGAAATTGATTACGTGGGAGCCGACTTCCTTTAGACTGCATGCAAGAATAAAGACGTGTACGGGAGCAGATATTTAAACTCTCCGATGAATTTTTCAGATTTTTATCGAAAGAGCTCCTTGATTACATCTGCGACTGAAAAAGAAAAGTGGAGAACTTGTAGAAATGCGTCACTAAATATGTATGCGGCATCTATAAGTGTGTTTACATAATATGCAGCTTATCCATTTGAATTGCAACGTTGTCAAGATGGTGCAAACTGGGCCTGCATAGTCAATGAGCCATATTGATGGCTAAGGATCAATACCGCTTATCTGCAAACTGACGATTTTGCCGGACAAAGAAGAAACTTCGCCATTTTTGCAATTTTGTAGTGAGATTTGCAACTTTGTTAATACATTACAGCGTCTTTACAGCGCATGTGGAATTGAAAAAAATTAAGAACATCAGCTTCCGTATTTAATCCTGAATAATGCGGCAAAGTCGCTAACTCGTTTTCACCAAAATTGTCGGTTAGGTGGTATTGTGCCATAGCCCTCGATATGCATTCTTACACTTCAATGAATATTCTCGGGAATGTCTTTTACGACGATCGTAAGCATGGAGCTCTAACCAGAGGAGAGTGGATGAAGTTGAGTACCTACTGTACAAACAATATGTAATTCTCGTCGGCTGAGAGCAGTTTAAAGTCAAGGCTTGACTCTGGGAGTGATGATGGTTCTAGATGCAAAAAGAATTGTAAATTAAATTCTCAAGTGTCCATGGTCGGGTGACATGATGATATCTTCAAGATTTCAAGGGTACCTGCAATAATGTTTTCATAATTGTGTACTCTAACCAATGCTGTCAATTTTACAACATTTATATTCACTTTTTTCATTTGTGCAAGATGTATTACATTGATTTGCACGGTATTATGGAAGCAATTTCTCATCAATGAAATGAATAATACAGATAAGCCGTATTCTAAAACAAGGGAGCGGGATTACTGCTATCATAGGAAGAGTCCTTTTTAGGGTTCGGTATACACTACTGGTCCAATAAAGGATGACAGATCTCATTCTTCTAATGTCTGAAAGAGTCATTTGAATCCAACGCTTCGAAATGTGCCAAGTCCTTGTTATTTTGTCACTTTTGCTTGGTCTGGAAAGGGATACACTAATTATACTCTATCTTTTTGCTCACTCTTGTGTGTTTTTATCTCACTAAATTACAGAAAAAATGTATTTCCTCAAATTTTTTTGCGTTAGTGAATTTTTTGTTTTACAACGAATTCAAAAATACCTCCCTAGTGGCTATATTGCGAATCTGGAAACGAAAAGATTTACGAAATTCACTTAGGACGTATTTTTGGAGCTACTTCATGTTTCTCAGTCACATCTGCTGGCCTTAATAATCGCCACTCCAAGGTCGTAGGCGCCTACTCGCCATAAGAAAGTATCTACATTTCGCGATGAAGCCTGTAGCACATAAAGCTCAATGCTCTTCCAGGCTCATTTCTAAATGTAGTTAGGTTCTTTTGTGAGCCAAGCGACGATTATCCTACCACTATCATTCTCTTCTCCGCATCCTCAGATCGGAGGGAGTCACACGGTGGTGCCGATCTACATCGCCGAGATCAGTGAGCCGGAGGTGCGGGGGATCTTGAGCGCGCTGAATCAGGTCCTGAGTTTCCTGGGCAACATCCTCATCTACGCGGTCGGCCCGTACGTGTCCATCAGGAGCACCGCCGTGTTCTGCGGCGCCGTGGCCGTCATCTTCCTCGTCCTCTTCGCGTCCTGCCCGGAGTCGCCCTACTTCCACATCATGCGCGGGCACCCCGAGCGAGCCGTCACCTCCCTCATCTGGCTCCGGGGCGGCCCGCCCACCCCCGCCGAGCTGGGCGCCATCCGAGGGTATCTCGCCGCCCGAGGCGGCCATGGATGGCGGAGGATCACTGATCTGCTCACCACCCCGGAGAACCGCAAGGCTTTCGTCATCGTCGAGGTGCTCAGTGGCTTGGATCGACTTTCAGGTGCGTCCAGCACCTCATTATTGAACTCATTGGGGGTGCAGCAAATCGGCAACATTGTTTTTCCCCATTTAAACCTATGGAAATGTATCGATTCTTGGAGGGGCCAAGTGCTCCGACAATAATCGATTATTTAGCATTGGTTAAATGGAGGAAATGTGGTGTTGCCAAATTGCTGGATCCGCCTCTGATTGAACTTGATGCACAAAGTGGTAGACAAAGAGGACAAGGAGGAAACGGAGCAGTGGTGTCATTTAGGGGGGAAGAGTTGCTCACTCCCACTCCCTGCGTTTCAGAAAGCCTAGATAAAAAAATGAGAAAAACTGATCGAAAACTTGATTTTTTTAAAAAAGAAATTAATTTTTACTCAATCACATGCTGTAAGAAATAGCGACGAGAGAAGCTCCCATTGCCACGTGAACGGGAGAAGAACAGTTGTTTTTACTTATGTATCTTGTATCATGTTAGAGGTCATGCAAGGTCACTCCCCCCCCCCCCCCCAAGGATAGCGGTCACAGTGGTCTTGCTCTTGAGGCAAAAAAATGCGACAAAAATTTACCCAAAAACGGTTTGCAGGGGATAAATCTACAGTACTTTCAAGCGTAGTTTAGGCTATAATATTCTTGCCAAGACTGAAAATTTGTAGAGCGGTTTATTTTACTTTTCATTCAGACTTAGTTTATAAAGAATTTCGAGGACCCCCCCCCATAAAAAGACCATAAAATACAACTCTATGTAAACTCTACATAACTATGGTAACACTACTAACTAAAGAGCAAAAATGTTTAGCAACGTATATTATAAGTATGTTTTCAATTTGCCTTCAGCTGCGTCCGCAGCAATTGTTGTTACGAATATGTTGTGCGTGCTGATTTCAGCCCATTACATACTCGACTTTCTGAAGGCGTTTTATGTGCGCAAGTGGCGCATTCTGTTGGAGAACGAACGAAATAGGGATTGAGAGATTGAACAACAGAGATTGAGAGAAATGCAACAAAAATATACCCAAAAACGGTTTGTAGGGGATAGATCCGTGGTACGTCTAAACTTAAAATCGCGAAAAATCGAAATATTAGCTGATCCTATTTTGGAGATATCGCAATTTGAAATTTTCATAGCATATATAAGTTTTCTAATGATTTTGATCCTGTTTTTATTTATTTGCCCATGAATCGGTGTCAATCGGTTCACGTCGACTGATTCACGTTTTTATTTTTCAACTGTGCAATGTTCAATTGTAACTGTACATTTACAACTGTTTTTATTTTTTAACTGTACAATTCGCCTTCTGTTGCCTGTGCAGCAATTGTTGTTACGAATATGTTGTGCGTGCTGATTTCAGCCCATTACATACTCGACTCTCTGAAGGCGTTTTATGTGTGCATGTGGCGCATTCTGTTGAAGAACAGCAGAAGTGAGATTAAATGAATCTCTCAATCCCTATTTCGTTCGTTCCCCAACAGAATGCGCCACTTGCACACATAAAACGCCTTCAGAGAGTCGAGTATGTAATGGGCTGAAATCAGCACGCACAACATATTCGTAACAACAATTGCTGCAGAGGCAGCAGAAGGCGAATTGTACAGTTAAAAAATAAAAACAGTTGAAAATGTACAGTTACAATTGAACATTGCACAGTTGAAAAATAAAAACGTGAATCAGTCGACGTGAACCGATCGACATCGATTCATGGGCAAATAAATGAAAACAGGATCAAAATCATTAGAAAACTTGTATATGCTATGAAAATTTCAAATTGCGATATCTCCAAAATAGGATCAGCTAATATTTCGATTTTTCGCGATTTTAAGTCTAGACGTACTACGGATCCATCCCCCGCAAACCGTTTTTGGGTACATTTTTGTCGCCGTTTTATTTGCCTCAAGACCACCGTGACGTGATCTGCGGTAGTTTAAACGTCGAAATAACATAAAAATCATCCGAGAACCTAGAGTCCCTTTATACTGAGAGTCAAGACAACACTTTCTCATGGAGTCACAAACGGGAATAAAGATTACACAAATTGAACGTTTTTCGTAATCTTTGATCGGCCCATTCTCAAATTCCTTTCTCCGTCCCTTCTCTCATTCCGTTTGTTCCTTGCCGAACCCGTAATTCCTCGGTCCATTCCAGATTATAATCTTTGCAATTGGTGAAAATGTAATCTTTATTCCCGTTTGTGACACCGTGAAGGCCCTAAAATACGGTAACCAATCAGAAATGAATTCACATTGTCTTGACTCTCAGTATAAAGGGACTCTACGAGAACCTATTGCTGATTTGACATAAATTCATCAATCAACTTACTGTATTACCAGATGTGACTAACTTGCCTGTATTGCTGTAGGTATAAGCTGCATGAAGGCATTCTCGTCTGTGGTGCTTCCAGCGCACTTGGGTCCGCTGACGTCAGACCACTGCACTCTGATCGTCTCATTGGTTTGGATGGCATCCTCGATGGTTTGCACCGCGCTGATCGACAAGACCGGCCGGAAACCGTTGCTCTACATCTCCAGTTTCGGCGTGGCCGTCTCCATGTTCTGGACGGGCATGTGGTACTTTCTAAGCAGTCAAACGCACATCGACGTCAGCAGTTTCAGCTGGCTGCCTTTGGCGGGGTTCTTGGTTTACGGGTGTGCTTTCTCGGTCGGCTGGGCGCCGATCACCCACACCTTCCAGGGAGAGCTGTTTCCCAGCCATCTCAAGGAGCAGGCGTCGGCGATGACGACTATAGTCACGGCTCTCACTGCTTCCTTCAGCACCTTCGTGTTCGGCATGGTGACGAAGAGGGTCGGGGTTTACGCCAACTTCTTATGGTTTTCGGTGGTCGGGGTCGTGAATTTGATCTTCGTCTACGTCTACGTCATCGAAACGAAAGGACGAACCCTGGAGGAAATCCAAGCTGAACTGAAAGGCAAGAAACGCGAGGAGCCGGTGGTCAGAGCCAGCGCAGACTCAATTTCTTAAATTAATTGGATAAATAAATACAGTAAAAAATGTGCACATCGTGTTTTTTTTTCTTGACTGGATGTGTTAATGTTAAGAGGAAGGAGAGGTGGATGAGGATGAAGGGGTGCGCTCGTTAGTTGAGGGCCGTGAGAATGAATGGGAATTACAGAGCATCAGTGACGTCAGCGTCGACCGGGGCCGGCGACGACGGGATCCTTAACTTATGAGCCCTGTCGACAACGCTCTTGACACATGTCCACGGCTCGAGAGTTAGCATATCTTGCCGTTTAGTTCCTTTTGATCTAATGTTAAGGTGATCCGATGGACGCCATATTTTGTGTCAGAACGACGTGCGATATATCGCATTGATTGGCTCTATTTTTTCAGCTAATAATCATTTTTCTCGAATTTTGAGACTGCAATTCTGTTGTCAGGAGACTAAAGCACTCACTTACAAATTTTCACAAACGAATTCAACGTAATAAAGGCGTGGTTTTTTTAGAGAGAAAACATCGCATTCGATACTGATATCGAAACTGCACTCGAATGCGATATTTTCTCTCTAAAAAAACCACGCCTTTATTACGTTAAATTTCTTTGTTAAAATTGGTAAGTGAGTGCTTTAGTCTCCTGACAACAAAATTGCGATCTCAAAATTGGAAAAAAATGACGAGTGGCTGAAAAAATTGAACCAATTGATACCATATATCGCATGCCATTCTGACACAAATTATGGCGTCCATCGAATCACCTTAATTCCTACTTCTCCATTTTGCCAAAAGCAATCACGCCCATTTTTACATTGTTTTTTATGCAGCTTTCACGAGCAAGCCCCATATTTTCCACCTGCCTCTAGTTGTTTATGGCGTCTATAGATAGCGCAGAAAGTGTCGTAAATACTTCTAACTATGTTGTATCTTGTAACGTCATTCAAACACTGCTGTACAGCAAAGATGATCCCACGAAACTCGATAATTAAATGAATTTGAGATGTGCTAATCGAAAAGATATCTTCGAGATGCCTTGATATAATTTCAGGCTGCCATTTTAACCCTCAGTTAACGCTATATCGATGGTGAAATCACTAAACCGCGTATCTTGGTTTATGATAATGTAAATCTATCACCTATTACTTTTCTTAAGAAAGCCTGCATCGTTTTTGCAAAAAGTTTCGTTTGAATCTTATCATTCTTCCACCAATATTCTCTGCAAATTTTGTGAAACATTTGGAGTAGCGTTCTCTTGAAAAATAAAATATTAGCTGAAATGTTTAAACGACGCACTGCAGATAGTTGGTTTGATTAGTTTCAATTTATTCGTTCTGCAAGATTTTGTAAAAACATCTAAATATTTATGAGTTCGTCACTGTAGAGCTTTCGAAAAGTTGCTGCCGATGGATTTATAAAAATAGCACGAGGATTAGTAAATGGATAAAACACACTTCGAGTCGCGTCGCCGCGCCGGTTCGCTGCTGCGAGCGCACAGCAAGCTGATGCGCCTTCAATATTTTGTGTATGCAACATTATCAGCTACGGGCCACGAATAGTTGCATCCAGACGCCGTTATCGATGAACTGTGGGTGGCTTCTAACCATTCTCCACGTGAGATACTATCATTATGAGATACTACCAGATACTATTCATTATCATACTTTGATAGTGTCTTCTTACATTTTACATGAAGAAGATCTTTCTTTACACTCGTTTACTCGATAATCATGACCATTGACCATCTCACATTTTTTGACGCGTGAATAAATATTGAGCACCGGAATACAATTTTTGAACAGGAGGAAGTAAAATTGCTGAGTTTTCAAGAAAAAAAAAGTATTGGTGGCGTTACTCAACATCTTCCTAACACGGCTAAACCCAGTCTCTATTTTAAAAATACGTACCCCATCAATATGTTCGAGACAATGACCCGCAAATTGTTAATTCTTTCCAAGGAAAAACCAACAAATGTCTTGAAATTTTCTTTAACCATTGTGAAGTTGATGCGTCAGGTTAATTTCAAAATCAAATTTGTAACCAAAATTTCTCTAATAAAATGATGGGAGTTCATTTTTTGATGCGTTTACAAATATTTCATGGTGTTATGTTTACCTACTTTTTTTTAAAACTTAAAGAGAAAGTTTGCATTTATTTTATACAGAGTACCGGTACTGGTGGCGATAAGAATGAGCCTGAAATTCAAAATTGAAGGCTCTTTTGAAGTAGAAATTTCTGAAACTCTAAATCTTTTTTTTAAAAACTTTTTTAGAGATGTCCCGAGGTCTGGGACAGTCTAATCTCGCGACCAGACCTGGTGCTACTCAAGGATTTGTTCTCATGTGGTACACGCTGAGGTTGTTTTATTGTTCTCAAGCTATTGTCCTCTAAACTGCATTTACTTCTGAGCGATAAGGAGGAAAACATCAGAGAGATAGCCAAATTTGTCATAGGCTTGTACGTTGAAGTATTTACGAGCATTCTTACATCGAGAAGAAAAAAGATTTAGTAGTGAGACCCAGGAAGAATTCAAATTTTAAGATTAAAAGAACACATTTGGAAAATAAAAATGGTAATAGTTTGTAGCGGTTTGCCTTTGAGAAGTTTCCAGTCATCAAGAAAATCATTGTCCACATAATTTGAAATTGAAATATTGACGGAAAATTGGAATGATGCACTAAGATGTTTGACACCAAACACTAAAAAATTCCGATTCCACCGTATTCACTTTATTGGAGAGGGACTCCAGGTTAAAGAGCTACGATTACGGATCACGTGGACCTGAAATTATGACGATCGGACTCGGAGCGACGATGATATGTTTATAGCGATGGCCAAAAAATGAAACCACGTATTATTCCGTTTGCAACGTTGCAGTCTTACTGATGCCATGCTATATTTTTCCTTTGAAAAACCAGTCAACATAATTTCTCGGAAAATTCCTTGACTTCTTCCCCTGTTAGCAGAATATTGTCTGTAAACCACAAGCTATAACGTTGATTTGTTTTTCCTCGAAAAAATAAATTAGGAGCAAACATTATGAAACATCGCGATGAAGATACGTTGTTTCGCACCTCGGCCCTCAATACCTATATTCTGTGATCGTGGGTTCAGAGCCAAAACATTGTTTTTCGTTGTGTTGTTGCTCTCTTGAAAAAGTTCGCTTTGGAAGTTATTAAGGGCGGGTTTCCAAAACCCTTTGGACATTTCGGCTTATTTGAAGTCGTATTTCATTATGAGCAGCTTAACGCGGCTCGAAATTAGATCCTTGGTCCTGAGATTTAGTTGTCTTTGATCATTCATATCACCTTTGACGAAAGTTGGCATCCAGCCCGTAAAGTTATCCCATTTTCAATCCTTCGACTGGAAAATTGACGAAAAAGTAGGAAACATGGGAGAAATAATTAAAAAAGTTTCAAGCGCCGCGCTTCACACTTGGTGGTGGATTCGCACTTTTTGTTTTCGTTATTCCTGGGATTTGAAACAAAGTGCTCTGTTCCCCGCAGAGACGTGATCGATCGATTTTTATGCACCGACTCCTTCACGTACCTACTACGAACGAAACTTTCGTCTGTGTGTGCACTTGTGCAGTTAACTATCGAAGGTGAGGTAGCATGGAGAAAAAAGAGTCGTCACTCATATACACAATATCATTGTGGATTTCAGAGCCTGCCTACTTTCCTAGTTTTAGGTACAGTGTTATTACTTTTTTGGTAACAATTATTTCAGTCTCAGTATAACAATACCGTCTCAGTCACCATTGTTATCCGGATCGAAGTAATGGTTATAACGACAGGAACATTGTGCCTAAGACTAGAAAAGCATGAACCTAAGTAGCAGAAAAATTGCGATGTATTGTGCATAAATTTGCAATAAAATCGCGATTTTATCGACGGCGATTTATCAGAATATTGTCGAACAAAAAATCGTGATAAATGGAGATGAAATTTCGATTTTATCGAACGCGATTTTATAGAGATATAATTGCGACAAGATCGAGGATAATCGCTCAGCGGTTGACGATCTTGGCGGTTAGATCACCAAAACATCGAAAAGAAATCGCAATTTAATTTCCAAATTTCTAGCTCTAATATCTGTATACCCCTTTGCCTTCCGCGGCTCATATGGAAATATAGTTACGCTCTTACGTCAAGGGAATGACGTTTTTGCGTACAAGGAACGAAAGGAAATGTTTCACGCCGTAGTAACGCGTAACACGACAGGAAAAAAAGACTTGTCACTGTTTGTTTTCTTATTTTTCTTCATCCTTCACCTTCTTAATCTTTGGGTATTGTGTTATTACACCAATATTATAAAAGCTATAAATTTTGCTTGTCAAGAGAGTAAATAGCTATTTATTTTAGGGACGGGGGATTGAAAAGTAAACTAGTGAGTTTTGATGTGACGTCATTGAGGTATCGTGGAAAAAAGCAAGGAAAATACGATTGTATAATAAACCTGATGAAAACAGTTTGCTAAATTGTCAGGTGGTAGCTTAAACATTTTAGAATCAATAACGGTCCAGCACCCGCCAAACAAAATGTTCTGTTTTCTGTTTTTTACATTCTAATTAGTTTTCTCTCATTTTTTGGAAAATGTTCCCAATTATTTATTCCCCGTGATGAATGGCCATGGTAAAAATTGGCAGTAGAATCTGTGTTCCAAAATACTATAGACCTAGAGCCGGCTGTAAGATTTCCAATAGCTTCTATAGCCGGTTACACAATTTCTTATAGCCTTTTATAGCCGATGGCGATCAAGCAACTCACAGACAGGCGATAAAGTGTATGCTAAACGTCACTAATTACGGATGCTAGGACTTAGTGAGTTTTTGGACCACTGCTTTCTTTTTGGGCCGTAGTATCTTGCTTTATTTTGCGAGGAAAGCTCCGTACTTTTGGTGGATGCCTGCCATTCCTAATATATTAGAGCGCCTTCAGTTTCGTATAATAATGTGCAATATCTCTGGTGTGAAATAGTTGCTTCAAGCGCCGTGGCATGCTGCGGTGCGGCAGACGGGCAGCCAGCGCGAAACACGCATTTGCGCCTACGAACCTAACAGGGATACTTCACGCGTTGCGCAATGCGTGAAGAATCCCTGTTAGGTTTGTAGGCGCCAGTGTGCCGCTGCTCCGCTTTGTGTTAGGCTCTAATATTTAATCTGGCGGAGTTAGCGTTATTCAGCTCATGATTTTGAAATGTTTGCACATCCTTATGGATTATTCTCGTTTTAATTGATAAAAAAAAAAAAAAAAAAAATTATATATGTATTAAAGGAAAATGTAACGTGTGTTTTGTAAATATTAAGGTGGTTCCGTATCAAACTTAATGATTTCCAAAGTACACGAATTGCTACACAATTTCTTATAGCCTTTTATAATCGATGGCGAAGAAGGAACAGCCAGGCGATAAAGTGTAAAGCCCGGCTATAGGAACTACAGCCCGGCTGCATAATTTTTTATCGCTCCGTGTAGCCCGGCCGTATGATTTTCTCCGCATTCTACAGCCAGCTATATGATTTTCTGTAGCCGTCTTTAGCCGGCTATAAGAATTCCTATGGTTTTTTGAAACGCAGCTCACATCGCAAATTTTTACCAGGAAGAGTTGCACCACTTGACAACCAACTCGCATTTCATTGTGAGAACACAATAAGTTTTGATTTAAATAGAGTGGCATGTTATCATTTGCGAGTTCTTAACAGAAAAAAACCAAAATAAAACAGAATGGAAAATGAGACCAATGACCTTAGCCTTCGAGAGTTGGAGAGAATAAATTAAAATTAGGAAGTGTATTGTATGATGCACACTTGGAAGGACATATTGTGTTTGTTATACAGTGAAAAGATAAAATAGTCCTTGACTAGCTTTTCTTCCCTGTCAAAGTTCATAAATAAAAGACAAAGACTCGGTTTCGGAAAACTGCACTCTGACTTGCTGTCGCTCCTCTTTTGGTATACGTTGCAAAGTAACACAGTCTTAACTCGTACATCTTTATATTTTGTTTTCGCCCTTTTGCTTCTGACGAGTTTGATCCAAAATGGAGTACAACTTTACAGGGAAAACCGTACTAGTGACTGGAGCTGGCTCAGGTAAGCTATATGCGTTCTTAAGCTGCACATTCGATTTTTGACTTTCAAAATATCTAAGAGCAATACTTTTATGGCCCATGTATAGGTACAAAAAGGGAGTATTGACATAATCTTCTTCTTTGACGAGCAATAACGATTAGGGCACAGCCATTCATTTAGCTATTCATTCAATTTTATAAAAATATCAGCGACAATAATACCAAGATGGATGCCATTTAATACGATAACTATCATAATGATAAGATGATCTTCCAACTCAAACTCAAACTATGCTTTTATATCTGGTAAGTCGGATTATCTAGTGTCAAGCACATAAAATAATCACTAAATATTGACATATACATTCTCTAAATTTCTGTTCTTGATGTTTTTAGATTTTACAATTAAGGGCAATTATATCGTGACTTATATCCTCAGAAATTTTTGATTTTTTTTTAAAATATTGTTTTGGAAACTTGTTTGTTTTATTGGCCGAGACTATTTATTATGCCTATGACGCACCGCCGAGACTATTTCTTATGCCTATGACGCACCGCATAGAAAATTAACGATAAGCCTGCCGTGAAGATCTCACCAACAATCCATCTAGATCTCATCTTATGAATGTCTTGGATGAAGGTCATGTTCACTGATGTTCGTTTCGAGGCTCCATATGAGATTATGTTCGAACAGGTATTGGGAAAGGTTTGTGCTTGAAGCTCTCCAAATGCGGAGCCAAAGTCATAGCAGTTTCCGTGATACAAAAGGAGCTGGACGATCTGGTGGAGGAAGTCCCATCAGTGCAACCGATCTGCGTGGACTTGGCCAAGTGGGATGAGACGAAGACCGCTCTGGAAAAGGTTGGACCGGTTGATGGCCTCGTCAACAATGCAGGCATCGCGCTCTTGAGCCCTTTCTTCGATATCACTGAGGATGAATTTGATAGGTATACAGATTTTAGTTCGTTGCTAAAAAATTCATTCATCAGTACTGTCGTGCAAAGGAAGAACGCTGTATAAGCCTTTAGGCGTTGCCGAATTATCCTCGTTAAAATACGAATTTTCGAGTAAACTTTTGTGTATTTTTCTTTCAATTTTCAAGTGAATTTCACTCGAAATTTGATCTAGAGTATGTGAAAATTTCAAGGGAAAATACTAATGGCTTTCCTCGAAATGTAATATTTTATTAGGGGAAATTTTGCAACTCCTGAAGGCTCATACGGCGTTTTTCCTTAGGACGGCAGAGTAGATTTTCGTAAGACAATTGGACGTATTTATGCTAAAAGGAGATGTGTGCAAGTGGAAAGATGGGGTGTGCTCGTTAGTTGGGTCATAAGAAACAATGTAAAAGTGGATATAGCTCCTTTGTAGAAAATTGAAAAGCGGGATTTGAAATTAAATCAAAAGGAGCTAAGCGCCAAAATATGCTAACTCATGAGCCGCGGGCATGGCAAGAGAGCGTTGTGGACAGGGCTCATGAGTTAAAGACGCCGTACGGCGATCCCGATCCCGAAACCGTCACCGCACTCACCGCTGACGTCACTGGCGCTTTATAATCCCCATTCATTCTTATGGCCCGACCACTAACGAGCACACCCCATCTTTCCACTTCCACATATCTCCTTTTCGCATAAATACGTCCAATTAAGAGAAGCTGTATCGTCTTTGATTTGAACTTAGCACATAGCGTGCAGGTTAATGTGTATGCTGCGCCTTCATTTTGGAATGGATATAATATGGCAGGCAATTAACAATCACCGACAATTTACAAGCCAGTGGTGAATAAATATAGAAAATCATAAAATTCAAAAATAAAAGAACAAGATTAGAGTGCTGATTATGTTGCCTATAATATTATGAATATATATGAATAGACGCTTTTCTATCCTTAAAAATATGGCAGGAATATGCACACTTAGAAGAGGCTGCAGTAAACTCCGTGACATTAGTTGGGTTGAGATCGGACAGGCAACTAAACTAACTTCGTGACAAAGCGTAGAGTATCACAAAAAATGAAGGCGCTTCAAGCCGAGCTCATACTTTTGAAGGCATGAATCCTTTAAAATTGCATTATGCTGATGCGCAATATTGCAATTTATGGAAACAACGTGCGAACCGCTTGCAAATTGCCGACGATTGCTAATTGCCAATACACAAAATATACACATATTCTGCATGAAGATATAATTTTAAAATAAGTGTCAAATTATTGTACAGAACGTCAATTTAAAAGAGACGAGCACACACGTCTTTTGAACTGAGGTCCGAGAGGATATTTTTATCGCTACAAGTTTACCGTATTTTTTAAAAATATGTGTGGGTGTGAAACGCTTATTTAGCCATCATTGCCAGGATCATCGCAAGATTTTCACCGACGTAAGGCCGACGTAGAGCTGGCTCCTTCACCCCTTCTCATTCCCGTTCAAATTTAATAAGTATGGAGGAATTGTATAAAAGCACGGTGAGCATAAGGAAACTCTTCTGAAGATCAGCAAAACAATTTTCCTCGAAATTAATTTCCAGGAGCCATAAGAGTATTGACTATTTCTTCTAGTGCTGAAATTTCCAAACCCTTATAAGTTTACAGGTCGGCGGTTTTCTCTTGATAATTTAATCAGTTTCAATTTCTAGTGGTCGAATGATAATTTCAATTATATCAAGTAATTACATTAATTTCATTGATGATTGTAGGTCCTTTGATGTAAATGTCAAAGCAATCCTCTGCGTTTCACAAGTCATCGGCAAAGGCATGGTCGAACGCAAGAAGGGGTCAATCGTGAACATCTCTTCGATCGCATCTCGGGTTTGTGTTTACTGTGCTTCCTTACTAGAGTATTTCACCTCTAATATGATCATGCAATGGGTTAGAAAAGGAGGATGAACTATCAAGACACAAAGTTTTGAAAATCAATACTTTCCACGGAGATGGGGGACAAGAAACCAAAAACTTGAGTTTACATGGATAAGTGCTTGGCATCTTGATGCCCAGAGCGGATGAAGTTGTTGATGCCCCATGCCCCCCCCTCTTTGAATCTCCTCTACATCCTTCCTTGCTTCTGAACTGTAGAACGAACTTTGAAAAATATGATAATTTAGTGTGCACTGGAAAAAAAACACATTGGATTTAGAGTCCAGACTCTTAAAAACATTGACAAGAAAAAAGACTCTTGATTCAATCGGATTTTTGCTTAAATCAAGAACCAAGCCTCTTAATTTGAGCTGATTTCCATTTGATTTAAGAAAAAATCTGATTGAATCAAGAGTCCTTTTTCTTGTCAATGTTTTCAAGAGTCTGGACTCTAGATCCAATGTGTTTTTTTTCCAGTGTGTCAGACAGCCTATCTGTCGTGATAGCGAAGAGAGCAGTAAGTGCTTGCTGGGATGAACCTCGAGACACATAAAAGTATATTCTGATCATGGCTCATACAGAAATGCGTTACTGCTCTCTTCGATGTCACGGCAGTTATGGTGTTGATGCTTTCGATTCCAAATAGATTTGAAATAAATATCAATAACCGGGGAAGATTTATTAATGTTATCACATGAATCAGTGAGTCCGAAAACACACGAAGTCGGAAAAAAAATGTCCAGGAAACCCCTAAAACTGCGCAGCGGGCGAAGAAGTTCGTTTAAGAAAAACCTTTTTGATGCCAAAGGACAAGTACTTAGAGACTTTGTAAAGCACCAAGTTGAAATCAATACACCATGTTTGATGACAGAGAATTAAGCGTTTAAAAATTTCCGAGTTGGTGTGTTTTCGTTCTCACCGACTTTCAGATACTGATTTTTCATAGTCCGTCTTGAAAAATGTATATTTTTCGACCTGAATAACGCTTGAATATTTATTTAACTTGTTGGAACAAGGTATACTGAACCGAAAAAAGAAAACAGCAAAATCGGATGGTCACCCGTTTTCCTTGAAATGGCCAAAAATTGGTATTTCCAATGAAATACTTGGATTCTTCCCTTTTTCCGTCGTTGTTTCGAGCACTTCCGATTGCAATTTAGAAATTTCCTTTTGCGTGCAGATGCTTCTATCCATAAGTGTTACTAAACCGTAAAAAAGTACAAATTGAAAAAAACCCGAGTTGGTGTGTTTTCGAACTCACTGCTTCATAAAGGGTAAAAAGTTTTCAGCAAGGGATGCGCTATTCGGACGGGGGTAATAAGGGGTTGCATCGGTCCGCAAGACGAGATGCACTCAGTGCAGAGCCCAGAGACAAGAGACCTTCCACTAGTATCTTGGCCATGGTGGAAGCTTTTACTTTCGGGACTTCAGCATTCTACTGTTGACTTACCTACATGGTTGATGTTCAACAACGTGTTGGCAGTTTCGTTTCGCAAACAAGCCGAAAATGGCCGAAGTTTAGGAAACTTGTTTGGCTCATGACGTCACCCGAAGCTCATCATCGACCATGTAGGTAGGTCAACAGCCGAAATTAGGGTGATGACTGTTGCTCCCTTATAATTGTCCATAAGGAACTGTTGAATCCCCGGAAGTAAAAGCTTCCGCTTGTCGCCAAGAGGTCAGAGGAGGGTCTCTTGTCTCTGGCAGAGCCTCAGCGATCTCAAGTCTTTGGAAATAATTTTGGTTTTTGGGACTTTGCAGTTCGGCTACGAGAATCATACGGTGTATTGCGGGACGAAGACTGCCGTGGACGGAATGACGCGGGCGATGGCGCTGGAGCTGGGGAAGCACAACGTCCGCGTCAACTGCGTCTGTCCGGTCGTCGTCCTTACTCCGCTGGGTCGGCAGTGGTGGGCAGAACCCAGCCGGGCCAATCCTATGCTCAATAGGATTCCATTGGGTAGATTTGCAGGTTCGTACCTAGTAACGATGAAGCACGAAAACATAGCCCGAAATATACGAATAAGGCCTTGTCTCCACGAGCCGTTTCACGAGATTTGTCCCAGGGAAAAATCCCACTTACGAAGTTGGGAAAAATATTGAGTTAATCAATATTTTTCCCAGTACCAAGTATGGTACTAGGACCCACTGGCAGAAGAAGAAGAAGAAGTGAAAACGAACTGTGCGATATTTTATTCATTACTACATTGTTCATGTTTGTTTAGTTAAAATAATGTGTCTAATTGTCAATTGAGTGCAATTATTATTTTAATCCCGGTTAAATACTCGACTTTAACTAATTTATCTTCCCGTGCAAACTAGTCGCAGGACTGTATGAGCCCCGTCCCGTGGAGACGATAACTGGGAAAAATCCCAGAAGTTTCATTCCTGCGATTCGAACTTGGGACAAATCCCATGAAAACGTCCCGTGGAGACAAGGCCTAAAGCGGAAATTTAATTCAAATATGGGTAAACAAGGCTAAAAAATGATTAAAACACTAAAAGGCAGGACGTTTTGAGGTGTAACCAACTCATTTTAGTAGGAGCAGGGGTTGCCTACCCATCTTCCACATTGGTTGGTGTGTAGGCGGCCACTATGTCTGCCTCGGATGTTCGGTACTGAATTCCAGTGGTTACGTGATAACGGCTGGGGTCAGGTCGCCACTCAATTTTTTACTTGTTGTTATGTGTTTTTGCAGCTGAAAATGAGCTGGTAACAGCTCGAAACGTCCTGCCTTTCAGTGTTTTAATTTTTTTTTGGCCTTGCTTACCCATATTTTAATTAAATCTCCTCTTTATTTGTACCAAGTAACTCAAGTGAGTTTTTGAACTAATTTTTAAAAACAAAAATATGAAAATTTAAATGTTACATAGATAGAGAGGTTTCAGGACATTTTGTCAACGATTTTTTGTCCGCGCACCTTTTTTGTCCAGCAGTTTACGCCCACACTTAAAGTAAGCAACAGTGACTTGGCCCAAGCGTTATATTTTAGTCGGTATGTAAAATTATATTGACAATATGGAAATGAGAAATTGACAGAGAAAGAGGTGTTGTTATGGTTGCTCGTTTTCTAAATGAAATGTTATTACTTCCTCCTTTTGAATCATCTTTTTAAACTGTCATTGGTGAATATTTGGTTTTATTTCTATCCTTAAAATATTCGATGTACAATATACCTTATATATATATAGGTATTTTTTTATTTTTTTAATTTTTTCTCTACGAAATTATTACTTCATTTTGAAAACATTTATATTTTTAAAACGTGGCAAATATTTGTAAAACTTTTCCAAGCGACATTAATCTCAATGAGCCGCAGTTGTGCCGACAGAAACTGCAAAAATCAATAAAAGAGGGGAAAAAGCAAGAAGCACGCAATCTTTAGTTTTAACCCATTTGGACATCGATCTTTTAGAGTCAAATACGTCAAATTTTGAGCGTTTGGTTGCGCGTAAACCTCGCTGCAGCACAATAAAAGCACAGAATGTAAAAGAAAAAATTAAAGTGCTTTGGAAATCATTAAATTTGACACGGAACCACCAATATTTAAAAAACACACATTATATTATTATTCTCCTGTGATAAATTGATACATATTTTTTCCCATCAATTTAAATGAGAATAATCAATGCAGAGCGTGCAAACATTTCAAAATCATGAGTTAAAAAACGCTGACTATGCGAGTATAAATACCTATTAAAGCCTAACAGAGCGGAGCGGCGTGCTGCCAGCGCGAGAGGCTCACTGGCGCCTACAAACCTAATTGGAAACTTCACGCATTGCGCAGTGCTTGAAGTATCCACTTAGGTTTGTAGGCGCCAATGCGCGTTCCGCGCCGGCCGCCCGCCCGCCGTGCAGCGGCGCCTGAAGCAACTATTTCAAAACAGAGGTGTTGCACAGTATTATACGAAATTGAACGTATTAAGAATGACAGGCATCTTTTAAAAGTACAGATGTTTCCTCGCAAAATAAATCAAGATACTTATCGTACACTGGAAAAATCTAAGAGCCTTTAGCTGAGGCAAATATAGAGGTTAACCTGGTTCAGGTATAACAAGGTGGGAAAAGCTTGAAAGATAATTAAGTCCCGTTACACCAAAGAGGTGTAGAGAGAGAGAGTTTTAGTGAATTTTGTCTCATGGAATGGATGCTCCCCCATTTTTACCTAAACTCTCAACCATATAATATTCTCCGTTGGACCAAACAGACAAAACAAAAAAAACAAGCAAACCCTCATTCTTCCAAGACATTTTACATTTTCATCCAAAAACGTCGTGAGCAATTGTCGTTTGTATTTACATGTGGGCCAATTAACTTTGGGTCTTAACTGGCACGTGGACCAAAACTCCCGTGCCGAAAAAACGCGTGGACGTAAATTACTGGAAAAAACAGGTGCGCGGACAAAAAATCGTTGACGAAATGTCCTATAACCGATAAGTCGCATTATAGCACTCCCTGGCGCTCTACGACAGGAACCTCCACTGCCCTCTGTCGAACCATAATCCTTTGGGCACAGTGGCGTGGCGTGCTTTGCGCTATATCGATTGATTTGCCATTTAAACCTCTGGTAAAGAATCGATTATTAAGGTGTTCGCAGCGAACACCCTGTTTATCGATCCTTTTCCATAGGTTTAAATTGCATTACAATCGATGTATTGCAATTCACGCCACGCCACTGTTCGGGCATCGAGCACCTTATTAACATTTCTGTTTCAATCCTCCCCTCCAACCTCTCATTGGGCGTCCTCAACGCCTTCTCCCAAGAAGAACCCAATCAAGGACCTTAAATTTAAATTTTCAGGATTTTCAAAATCCTCAAGTCAAAAGTTAGAGCAAAGTCGAAGGAATCGAACAAAAAAGTTTTTGAAAATCCGTTAATTAGAACCTGAAAAAAGTGTACCTTAGCATCAGTATATAATTTATTAGGCGAAAGCATCAGAGTCTGCCCCTTTAGAGTTCCCCTTTAGAAACAATAAAAAAAAAAAAAAAAAAAAAAAAAAAAAAAAAAAANAAAAAAAAAAAAAAAAAAAAAAAAAAAAAAAAAAAAAAAAAAAAAAAACTAAAGCAGGAGCGGAGATTAAACATAGCGAACGAGATACGTGGATTGGAAGTTTCACGGTTGATATATTGTATTTTTCAAAACTAACCAGAAACAGTGGTTCCTTTTTGCAAAACGAGGCAAAATAATTAATCTAACACCGTAACCACGCGGTTCATTTGAGAATAATGTAGATTTTGGTTGATGATTATTGACAGACAAACACGAAAAAAATCGACTATAATTCACTTGATACAACGATAAATTCATACGAGGAAACATAAAAAGTAATCTACGTCAAATTGGTGTTGGGCCATGAAATAAGAGAAAACTAGTTAAAGCATTCAAGCGGTTGGAAGTTGTGCTAATTTCAAAAATCTACATCGTGATTGTTAATGCAATTTTATTTGATTTTGCAGAGATTGAGGACATTGTGAACCCAGTAATGTTTCTGCTGACTGATAATGCCAGTATGATCAACGGGGCTCGATTGCCCGTGGACGGCGGTCACACCAATGCTCCCTTTCATTGCTCTGAATAACAATTTTGAACTTTGAAAATTCAAATTTTTAAAAAAAAAACTTTTTTTATAGTAAGACCTATTTGTCTACATTGGGCGTTTTGAGAATGTACTAATTTATTTTGAGGACCGATTTGATGACGAAGACTTGTGCTTAAAGGCTTTGTTTTTATGTTCATGCTTAAGCCTTGCCACAAATGGACGTATTTAGATCGAAATAATTTATCCTCATTGTGACCTGGACTCTGAGACCCATAAGAACACATACCTGGCGGGGCCCATGCCATAATAGAGATAATTTCTTTTGATTTAAATACATTAAAAATCGAGGTCATGAGCGTTAGATGTCGAGACGGAGGCTCTTGGTAAAAAGGTTTTTCTGAATCTGAATCAGTGGCAAACTATCGCATATGCTTAGGTCTGTTTTCTCAAAATTTTAAATGTAGATTGCTCTCATCTGGTGAATTACGTCCAACTTTCTTGTATATTGATCTCTATCGTTAAAACTTGTACAATTTCTAAATATTTTAGTATCACTTACACTGTTATAATATATGAATAAATAGCAAGACTTCAATTTCAGTGGATTCAATCCCTCTTGGATTACCCAGCTTATTTATTGTGTTTTATAATTGTTTATCTAGGTTTGCATTATATCCTATTCAATTCAATTTCTTGTGTCAGAGGAACATTTGACCGGTTACTTTTGGTTTTAGTTCTAAGCATACCTCCCCATCAGGTCCCTATGTCGATGATGAAATTCGAAACCAAGTACCTCGGTTTGCGATGTTGCAGACTTCCTGCCATACTTCATTTTCTAAATGGAGAGCATCTCCATGTCAATCTTCAAAACTTCCGTGATTTTTCTTCTCTGTGCGAGGTAAACTCTGAAAAGACTTCAAGGAGCGATGTTGATTTGTTCTTCTTTTAAAAAAATAAAGCAGGTTTTTAAAAACGGCAAACGAGGTACGTGAAGTACGTGATTTGAGAGTTTCACCCTCCAAATATTACCAACTGACTCGTTTGAGGAATCTATGCCCCTATGACGTGGGAGTGGCGCAGGCGTGGCGTACTTTGCGCTGTATCGATTGATCTGCCATTTAAACCTATGGAATAGGATCGATTAACAGGGCGTTCGCTACGAACACCTGAATAAAAGATTCTTTAACATACCTTCAAACGAGGATATATCCATAATCGATCAATCGATCATTCACGCCTATCCTCTGTTACGCGGACTAATTTACCTAAACTTAATGTTAGATCTCACGATTTCTTAGTCGCCTTTAAATATTTTAAGTGGATTTTAACCTTAATCGAGATATTCCACAGAGACCGCAAACAAAATGCGATACAGCAGGTTAATAATTGCGCGTTTCCTGCATGGAATGAACAAAGACAATCCATTAATTTAGCTCATTGCGTGATGTTTAAAACAGAGAGACAATGCAATAGCTTATCGGAGTTTTCAGCTCTTGATTTCGAACCCTCATTCGTTAAAGTTTTTGTTGCTGAAAAACGTAAACTACCTCTTATTCTACGAAGTGCTGGGAAAATGAGGTTTTATTTTGTCTCTAAGGCTTTACTAAACTTTTGTTTTTATTAATTTATTTATTTTGATTACACATTTTGAAACTCCATCAACATTCTTTAATATGTATATTCACTTGAAATGATCGATGCCAGCACTTTAGCGTCGATGGGAGTCTTTCACTGTGTTTTGTCCTTCTTGCTCCTGGACCGAAGCTGACTTAAATGACAGAAATTTATGCCAGTGGCGTGGCGTGAATAATCGATAATCGATATCTCGCCATTTGAAGCTATGGTAAAGAATCGATTACGAAGGTGTTCGCTGCGAACACCCTGATAATCGATCTTTTTTCATAGGTTCAAATGGCACCACAATCGATATATAGCAATTCACGCCACGCCACTGAATTTATCCGAAAAATGCTTTAGCATCCCCCAGAAGACGATATTATGGATTTTGAATTAGGTAACCAAAAAATGAGGGTAGTCGATATTTGTTGCCTATATTTGCTCTTGAAGCTGCAAAGACTCCTCAATGGGAGGGATGATACGCCCCCTGTCAACTATAAAGATACGGCTCTGCGGAGAAGATGCATAACGTAACGTTATAATCAGCTTTAAGCCGCTGTGCGAACTCCACAAGGCGACGACGGCTGGAAATCGACTAAAGTTCCGCGTCGATTCCACAGAAAACCAAGAATCCAGCTATTTACAAAACCCGGCGGCTCCACGTCAAAACGGCGTGAAACTCGAAAACACGCGCGGCACCCACGAGGAGGGCGGGGGAGGGGGAAGGAGGGCGCTTTGGAAACAGCTACAGCGGCGAAGCGTCGTTCGGAGGGGCCTCGCGTTTGGAAATAGAACGAGATCAACCCGATCTCTCCAGTAAAATTTCTGAAATTGTGAAGCGTCGAAAACACGCTCAAGGAGTAACACATCGTCTCGACCGCCCAAACACAACACACAATGGTGAGTCAATCCGCCTTCTTTTCGCTCGGGGCGCTTTTTCGCCCGGCCACTAACACTAACGCACTTATGATTCTCGGTCTTAGGCCGCGGTTAATGAGTTGTATCAACAGGTGGTCGAGTAGCCGCCCTCCTGCCGTCTTTTAATAACCTCAAAGTTCAGGATTCGGTGAAAGTTTCGCCGCTGGATCCCCTCAGACGCATCGCGCCAGCTTTTAAGGGATTCCACCCCTCGCTCTCGGCCATCTATTCTTCCCGTTTGGTCCGACCCGTACCCCCCGTCGTATCATTTCGGGAGTGCGTAGGTGCATTAAAATCAGGGGGATTCCCTCTCAAGATTTATTGAATCCTCCCCGGAAGCTTATTGGAAAAGTCTCTCGGTTGCTTCATTCAAATTTCCAGGCGGCTCCATGAACGTAAAATGCGAAAAATATGTCGAGGAATACCGCTTGAACTGAATGAAAGGTGAATATGGGTCATTATTAAGGTTTCCACTTTTTTCAGTCAATTTGGCTTTATTTGCTGGGGGCAGAATAAACCACAAGATAGGGTACGAGCCTGGGCACCACAATATGCGTGCAAGACTATAGCGCTTTAAAACTTTCCGGCTTCAATTTATGGATGATAAAGTAACGGCTCTTCTCCACGCGGAACTTCCCGCTTACAATAAAACCAATCAAATCGAGTAATGTACTAAACTAATTATGGTAAAATTAACGATGAAAGAATTTTCCTGTGTACTAACTTTTTGTCGATAGGATCAAAGATACCTTGCACTAGAAGAAGGGAAGGGGGGCGTGAAACAAATCTCTAGGCATTTGCCTAATAGACTACGCCCAGTGCCTAATTCGGCTTACGTTGGAATGTATTGTTGATACTATAAACAATGAAGGTTAAAATCACGAATATGAGTTGATTTGGGTTTAATTTTTTTCCAACGAGTTCTGCATGAGACTTTAACGAGAAACATATGATTTTATGGTTCGTTTCTTACCCTGCGCATACAGTTGCCCATTGAGCCCTCAATACAACAATGATAGAAATATTTTAAAAACCCTCCGTTTTAAAAATACCTTAATGAAATATATGTAAATAAACAAAAATCGTCAAGTACACATACTCATACAATGAACTTTTGAAATCCTGTACAGCATGATCAAAATTACATTAGTTCATGAAAGATGTATACAAGGAGGAGGGGATCAGCCGCTTACGGTCAGAATTTGCGTTGTGTTATATTTCAAGGCGAATTTTATATCTGAATTCGCAACCGGTTAAGGTTCCAGAGGCATAACAGTTTAAATTTGTTTGTTCTCTGTAATTGTATACGCGGAAAGTCATAATTTAATAGGTGTTCCCTGGATACTTTTTGAATAGAACGTACGAAAATACAAACAAATTCCGCAAAATCATCTTACTTTAAGTCTAGAGTCCGAACTTGAACGACATATTAGGCTCCTAATACGGAAAAACAATTCCATGATTTTGACAAATTTCAAGGTAGACGCGGACCTCCCTTGAAATTTACACGATTCGCAGTACATTTTCTTTCTTATTTTGTATTTTTTGTAGCGGTGAATTTATCGTAATCCCTCTGAAGGACCCACTTCCAAAATTGTACTTCTAAAGTTTACTCCAAGTTTGAAGAAAATTTCTTTATTTTTATGATGTCGTGGTAAAGATTTCCTTGAACCTGCCATTGTCACGATTTCAACCCAACGACAGAACGGGACCCCCAAAGAAAATGAGCTTTTTCAGGAATGGCTAAAGGTTCATACAATAGCCTCGCGATTGTCTTGAACTGCTTCCTGTAGAGTCTCCACATAAATTTTCATATAATTGCAAAACATTTTGATAAGATTTTTACAACTTTTGGTCGTACACGGAGTGGTTAAATGGGCAAAGAATTTGGCAACAGCGCGGTGAAGTGGTGTATTTGGTGCTCAATTGGTCGTGTCAACGCGCATCCCCCATTCAATGCATACAAAGCTATTATTTGTGCGGATCAAGACTCCAATAAATTATCCCCGGTCGTATTTATCCTAAGCCCCCAAATCTCCTTACTGATGGGTCGGATTATTTTGTTGGCTATTCAATATAGCAAATCATCTTTGCCAGTACTTGCGAGATTCGTCTCGTTCCAATCCGAGGAGATGGAGATGGATGGTTTTTTTCTTTTTGAAATGGAACAGAAGGTATCCGAATTTTCGGGCGATTTCGATTTCTGTACATGATATGAATACCCAGTGATTTCGCAAAGTTTGTTACTATTTAACATAAAAAGTTGAAAGCCTCGCGTTTGACTTTCTCATAGAGATTATCCCATACCAACTCGGAGACATTTGGACATTTTAACTCAAAAAAAAAAAAAAAAAAAAAAAAAAAAAAAAAANAAAAAAAAAAAAAAAAAAAAAAAAAAAAAAAAAAAAAAAAAAAAAAACTGGACTATACAGAAATAAACTGCAATAGTAATTAGTACGAAAAAGTAATATTATTAGGACATTTTTTTGCGTCTGTTAAAGAAACGCCAATTAGTTCGTTCGATCTAAAAAAGAAAAGTTTTCATCAAATGATGAAAAAGCTCTACGAGCTGGAATAAAATCATAAAAATGATAATATTAATATTATAATTACGGCTGCAAGCTGGATTTTGGCGTGATTCATCCACATACGAACAATAACATCAATAGAATGCATATTTCTTGGAACAGAAAACAACTGCGGCGTGCAGTATACTTTTTCGCCTACCTCGAGAAATGAAGGAGTAGTAGTAAAAAGATGTACCTCAATAGAAAATAATGAGGAGAAATTACGAAAAGAATTGTATTGAATTAAGTACCGCTTGTACCTCTTTAGGTTCCCAATCCAAACTTTAAAGGTTATTTGTACAAATAAAACTAAGAATTCAGCATCGTTAAATCTAATGGAATCATGCATCAGTTTTTGGATAGGATCGAGTTAGAAGTCGCGAGCTCAATTGTTTTTGACTAGTTACCCGAACTGGTTCATATTTTAATTTTTTTTGTCGCAGCAAAAAATAGCATCATTACTTTGCACAAAAATTGAGGGCCGTAAAGGACAAGGCGCATTAGTGCAGTTTTTGCTATTGGTACAGATGTTTAAAATTTTGAAACTACATGGAGCCTAATGGCGGAAAGAAAGTTCAAACCCACCTTTTGGGTTGAATTCTGTATTGTAGTTTCCGTTTGATTTGTGACTAAATTCGATGGACAATACGGGAAACTCCAGAATCAACGGAAGTTTTAGGTTCCTTTGCACTTTACCATCTTAGCCGAACTTTTGTTCCATTTTTTTCTCTCAGTGTAGTCAGGGTTGAAATCAATAACATCTCAATTTTTCCAAAAACTGCGTTCATAACCCTTATTCTACACGCCCTTCAATCATTTTAATGACGATGCAATTTCATGATAGATCTGATAGATCCATGTTTCATAAAAAAGTGTTCTACAAACCCCAATAATGAAACGCTCTAAACACGGAGAAAAAGTGTCAGGGGTTATCCCCTAAAATTGTGGTGCTACCCCAATTTGTTAGATGATTATGGACATTTCTAATTAATTGTATTAGTACCGCAACTCGAGTTAGGGTAGTACCGCAACAACATTTGGGTTAGTTACCTAATTTATTGGGGTACTACCATAATTAATTGGGGTGCTACCATAATTAATTGGGGTACTACCACATTTACTTGGAGATGTCCATATCATCCAAAAACCTCGTGCTTATTTTCCGTGAAAAAAACCCGAGCCCCTCTCGATAATTGCGGCTTAAATTGTATGAATAAACATCCCCTATTGTTAGATGAAACGCAGAGGTGTCCAGTGGCACGCAGGTATAGGATGACAGTCATCGCGGAGGGCGTAAATAGCTCCCGAGTTAGCACCATTGATAGGAATCAATGAATGACTCGAATTACAACCGTCGACGTCGCGGCGCCGCGTCAGGAGTGTACACCCTCGCCGCTCCCCCCCCCCCCNCCCCACAGGAGGAAAGGGGAGGCCTTGACCCCGTCCCCGTTGCGCCGCTCTGATCTTCCGCCCTGAGCAGCAACCGCCTAACTCCTCGAGCGCACCGCGTGTACATACGCGGTTTTCGGCGGACGCGGCAGTGATATCCTCCGCTCGCTTTGAGTGGCCAACTCGTGTTCGGAAAAAAAACCGAGGAGAAATTGAACCCCGGCCAAGAGCGGACGGGGCCCGTGCGGCGAACGCGTGCGAGTTTGACTAATTCGACAAAACGAGGATAGCTCCGTCGTACGAAGTCAAAACGCCGTATCAGCATTCGAGTGTTGCCAAATTTTCGCTTTTTCGAAAAATATTTATCGCTGAAGAAAGTTACGAATAGAGTCCCTTTATACTGAGAGTCAAGACAATGCGAATCCATTTTTGATTGGTTAACCGGATTTTAGGCCTTCACAGTGTCGCAAACGGGAATAAAGATTACATTTTCACCAATTGCAAAGATTATAATCTGGAATGGACCGAGGAATTTCGGGTTCGACAAGGAACAAACGGAATGAGAGAAGGAACGGAGAAAGGAATTTAAGAATGAGCCGATCAAAGATTACGAAAAACGTTCAATTTGTGTAATCTTTATTCCCGTTTGTGACTCCATGAGGGGTGTTGTCTTGACTCTCAGTATAAAGGGACTCTAGTTACGAATATTTATACTTCAAATCATCGGACTTTTTAGATCAAATTACGAAGGAAATCCTCTGAAAAATCGGAAGAGGAACATTCACAACTTTACCTGAAAACTCGTAATTTGTGGAGGGAAATTTGGCAACGTCTGACGGCTCTTACGGCGTTTTTCTTAGCGCGGCAGAGCTCTTGGTGTAAATTCTCGGGGGCGGGCGCCGAGTCGGGAGTATCACGCAACCGCCTGAAAAATTAGAGCAACAGGCGCGTTTTCCCGCTGCTCGACTCCGAGCTGCGAAAACTTGCGCGACGGATCGAGGGAGTCGTGTTTGTTTTCGAGGTATGAGCGAAATGGCGCTCACTTCCGCTTGTTCAACGAAGCTCTACATTTTATGGTTTCTTCTCCAGATTTCAACGAGGGAAAGTAAAAGAAAAACATGCACACTGTCATACCAGGACTTTCGCGAGGGTAAATTGGTTGCCCGGCTGACAAAAAAGTGTAACTCACATCCGCGGCGGTTCTCCAAATTTAGCAACATTGTTTTTCCTCCATTTAAATTTATGTTTAACAATCGATTCTTGGTGAGGCACCTTGACTCGCTTAAGATCGATATGTATAATGGAATTAAAGCGTCTCGGCTGGCAAAAGGGAGTAACTAAAATTTGAGGTGAGCCCTCGGAAAGCACCGAGTTATGTGGACAACAGGACTCATCGTCGAGTGTAGTTAGGCCCTGATGTCAGGAGGGCGACGGAGGAATCGAGGAAAAAAGTGTTGCCAACTTTCAAAATTGCCACTGTTACACATTCTGATGAGCCCGGAAAAGAATTATTATTATGAGGACGAGAGAGTTCATCTCGAAATGTAGATATATGTACATCATTGTGTCAGGAAGGCAACGAATTGTTGCCCACGCTGACAGCTTTTGCGCCCCCTCCCCTCCCCCACAGTCAGAGAGTGGAGGTTGGCGGAAAAAGTACAGTTGGAATTGCATGATCTTCTACGATGAAAAAACCATGAGTAGAGTTTAAGCACATTTTTGAGGAATCAGCGCTGAAAGCCTCAAGTTTGAAAATTATCTAGTATGCTTCAAAATAAAGACATTGACGACGAAACTCCCAAACCACATTTCTTGTTTGCGGTGTTTTAAAAACTCCGCGGCCATTTTCATTTCACGGAAATAACAATATAGTGCTGAGCAGTAGCTGTTTAAATCAAATGGAGCAAGTTAATATATGGCAGTACCGCTGAGACCTACAGTCTGTAGGGCTGGAACCTAACATTTTAAGGCTCAGCACTACTGTCATACTGGCTGGCTCCATTTGATCTAAACAGTTAGTCCTCAGTACTACATCGTTTTTTCGTGTTTTGAAAGGAGACAATCAACATCATCCTGTGAAGTTTTCATAAAATTTTCTCCGCACAGAGGTGACAAATTAACTGGTACAATACATCAAATGGAAAGGAGCTGATGATGTCATTCATTCTTAATAAGTTTTTCATTTGAACGATGTTAGTTGCAAACATTAATTTCTAATTTAGTGAACTATTTTCAAACTCTCTCTGTGTCCATCACCAAATTTTGGCCAGATACCAACCGTTAAAAAATTACTCCATTCTATCTTGTCAAGTGATCTATGTCTGAAGGCGGCAATCATAGCTGCGCATTCTCTAAGATCATCACTAAAAACGATTTAATCAAATAGCTACAATTTCTGCGATATTCATTTTCAGAGGTGAAGATGGAAAAAGGTAATTTGTAAAATTTTCCAATAATATTTTAAAAAAGCAAAAATTTGCTCAAAAAGTATGCTAAACCTAAGCTCAGTATTTGTTTTCTTTTTGTTGCAGGACGATTTACCACCAGAACAGATTTCAGGTAAGACCTCTAGTTTCGTTGCTTTAAGCAAACATTTTTATACTGTATTGCTCCAGTTTTACATTTATTTTAAGTATAGAAATCTATTCAAAATAGAGTTTATAAAATCTCACACTAATCGTGACTTCTGACATTTTTTTGTAAAAAAATGCGGGTAAAAAAAGGCATATCACTTTCACAGTAGCTGTTGACATTTTTGGCACAGGATGGAGCTCGAGTGGTTAAAAAGTATAGCTAACTGACTTACAAGAGCATTTCCACTCAACTCACAACTTTGATTATTGGTCAAAGACTATGTACGGAACTAGGGGATGGGGGGGCCTGGACTTGCCCTTCCAGTAATCTACTTGACCCTTCCCAAAAAATGCACGGAATTTCGCTAGGTAAGAGTGACAGTATAAAGTATAAGTGGGTAACATATTTCTCATCTTGAAAATTGTGATAGGATCAATTTTTCTGTTAGAGGAGCTTAGAATTGCATCAGTGAGAACGAAAACACACCAACTCGATAACTCGAAAATGTTAAATTTTTATTGAAGACAGTCAGTTTTTATAAAGGTCATTGAAGTTAGCGCATCTTTTCCATCTTGGACCTTTCAAATGCTCTGTAGTACTTGTCTTTCGGCACCAAAAATCTTTTTCTCGGACTAAATTCTTCGTCTACGGTGCAGTTTTGTGTGTGTCATGATTATTTTCATTTTTTCGAGTTGGTGTGTTTTCGTTCTCACTGATTCAATTGCTCTTGAGACGACTTAATTTTTCGACGATTTTCGGGAGGAGTCTTCCGCCCTGGACCCCCCTTTAAATCTAGGAAAATTTCGCAAACTTTCCTTTGGAGGTATAAGAGCGTCCCGCAGGCGCAGGCAGACCCCCCGTCAGTGGGGTGGTCTTTTAGTGCCCCCCAGATCACCCGTGATGAACAGTGGCGTGGCGTGGTTTGCGATATATCGATTGTTATGCCATTTAAACCTATGGAAAAGGATCGATCATTAAGGTGTTCGCAGTGAACACCCTGTTTATCGATTCTTTACAGTAGGTTTAAATGGCATAACAATCGATATATCGCAATGCACGCCACGCCACTGGTGATGAAATACCCCGCTGGAAGTCACTAGTTCCGCCCATGCCAATGACTCCCACTTACTCCCTACTTTCCTCACTCGGATTTGCTCATATTTTGATCGTGTACCCAAGGTTTTTGCCTCATGAATTTAAACTGCCGTGAAAGCAGGGTCAGTGCTCATGAAATTTAGCGTTGACAGAATCGCGAATGATTTGAAAACAGCTACAGCCGCGAGAGTGGCCGAGCGGGATGAGTAGCGTCTTATGTCACAATGAAAATCCTCGATAATATATTTTGATAATAGAGCGCGTATGCTAGAGCGGAGCTAATAGCACTAAATATAGCCACACATGTAAACATTCGCGGACGGGGAGGGAGAGGGGAGCGTGCGTCATGTTCACGAGTCGCTGAAAAAAAGAGGGAGAAGAAGAAAAAAGAAACAAGGAGACGGGATCATTAAAATCCCACTCAAATCTTGAAACGCTGCTCCCGACAACAACTCTGATATGATATATGAAAATGTGGAGCTGCACAGTGAGTAGACTAATTAGACGCTTCCCTGTCACTCTTGTTGCCACGTAGGGGAAAGTTTCATTTTCACTCTGCGCACAGGCCATAAATGGCGGATGCTACGTCACAGGAGCCTTAGAGTCTGAATTTTAGAGGTAATACAGGTCTGCAAACGAGATTTTTTTGGGAAACGCTGGAGATGTCGTCACCTTCCGGCCAAAGTACAAGCGCCATGCAACGTTAATAAATTTTCGCCGTCATTTAGTTGTTGAGAAATTGGACTGCATTTTGCAATTTGGAGCTATAAATTCTGGCTCATCTGAAAAAACGCTTTTGTGCGTAGGGAAACTAATGGCACATATGTTGTTACTAAACCAGGCTAGAATGTAAAGTTCCAAATTGCAAAATGTAGTCCGATTGTTGATGGATCTGTTTGAAAATTTCACTGAATTTTATCGGCAGCACAGAAAACATCCAGTGAAATTTTCGAACAGCTTTGTTGAACAATTTCTCTGTGAAAAAATAAACTAGCGGCGACAATTTTGAAACGTCGCATGACGCCTGTGATATTTTTGCCAAAAGGTGACAATATAATGCTCAGTTATTTTGTAATTTTTAGCACCGAGTCCGAGATTGACCTCAGTTCTTTTCTCTATATCCACCTTCTTCCAGAAAATCGAGATTTTCATAAAATATTTCCGTCAAAAATTAGTGCAAGATCGATCGTAGAATATAACCAAGGTCATTTTCGAATTCAACAACGGAAAACTCATGGGGAAATTTTTAGCTCATGCCTAAACATTTTCCTCACTAAGGCTTAGGCTTTTCCGGGCAAACGGCATGATCCGCCCATTTATCTCCACGTAAAATTTGTTCATTTCTTGCACAACTAAAAGGACGTGAGAGTTATTTTTTGCAGGTGTCTACTGGGGCTTTATTCCCGTTTACGATTTGCTGCTGAGGTCGGAAACGACCTTAGTTCTTTTCCATTACCATTCATTATTCCGAAAGAATGAAATTTCCAAAAATACATATTATCTGGTGGATGGAAAAGACATATTTTGGGTAAAAAAACCAATAAGTGGCGAATGACGGAAAAGATTTACGGCCATTTTCCATTTCACCATCAAAAATTAAGAGGGAATCTAAGCTGAATGAAATAATTTTCATGTCCTTTCAGGTGCAAAATAAACGGACCGGTTATACACAGAGGTACATCAACGGTAAAACTACCAGACCACGAATCTCGTTTGCGGAGTTTAATGACGCATTTTTTTGAGAGAGAACATATCAATATCAATTCCTAGAGTTTTTACGGAGTTTTCATGGCACAGAAAAGAAAAATCACGGAAGTTTTCAAGAATTGACGTTGAGTAGTTTCCCATGAGTTTCCTTACTCCTATCGGTCATCACGATCGGGCTGAAAACAGCCATTTGAGCTCACAGCTTCTGTTACAATATGCTGCCATGCTAAGGAAAAAGGCCGTATGAACCTTCAGGCGTTGCCAAATTTCCCCTGGAAAATCACTCATTTTCAGGAAATTTTTTGAATGTAGGTACGTCTACCAATTTCTCAGATAATTTTATTCGTAATTTGATCTAAAACGTCTGAAAATTTCAGGGAAAAATATTCATAATTTTCCTTAAAAATAAACATTTTATCGAAGGAAATTTGGCAACTCTCGAATGTTCATACGACGTTCTTCATTAGCAAGGCAGTATGGGTCGTTGTCATAGTTTTTCCTTGAATGAGTGGAGCATAAACGAAAGCGACGAAGGGACTTATGAAATGGATGGGGGAGGGGCGTGGGGCGCCCCGGGGCCGGAACAGATGGACATTATGGCTAGTCCGTCCCTGCAAGATGTCTTCTAGGGCTCTGCCAACTACGACCGTGTCTAATACCCTAATATACATAATTACTCGCTTCACACCCTGACGGATCACCCGGGGCCAAATATTTGCCACATTCCCGTGCCTCCAAAATAATGAAATGACACTAGTTACAATTCGCCGCGCAATTTATTCATAAAACAGTTTCTTTGATGACGATAATTGCCGTGGATAATTGCCGCTAATTTATGTTGATGTGTGCCCGAAGGACCATTTCTTTTGTTTTATGACACAAACAAACACCGTAATACAATAGTAAAGTAGGGGACACAATTTAGAGGACCCGCCTTGGCTGATAGTTATAGGATTTTTATCGCTGTATTTTACCGAAATTCAATGGTTACAGAGATGATAGATATGATTTTTACTTTAAATAAAGGTATGAAACCCAGGAGCATACCGTCGCCAAGTGGTAAAATGACAAATCGTTATGAGGTTGAAGTCAGAAAATGCGTGTCTCATTACAACGTTTCAAAATTCCGGAAAATGTTCTATTTTTTAAAAATGAAAAGGGCCTTGAACCTGTTTGTGAATATAATTGAATGATTAAAAGTCACGGACAATGCCACGAAATTGGTTTGATTAATTATTTTTTGAAAAAGAAAAAATGAACGGAGATATGCGACGTCCTAGTCGGAACAGGAACGCATTTTCTGACTTAATCATCGATATTCATCCCAGTACTCTTCGACAGTTTCGGAATTTGGCAGAGATACCCAAATAATTAAGTTCCTATCAATACATGTTGATTCAGCAAACTTTAATTTTAATTGTATTTGTAATTTTGTAACTTTAATTTTTAACAGATTTAGAGGGGAATGCATAATTGCATACCTTTGGCAAGATAGGTTGAAGACTGCAGAAATATAAAAGTTAGTATGATAAGGTTTAGGGTTTGTATTTTTACCTTCAAAGAGGGTTATGCAAAACGGCCAAAAAGTGACCCCGCGGGGATTGTACGAAACTTTGTGGGATGATTGTATAGGTCATTTTGGGCTTGCATCTGGCTGCTTTTAGGCGAAAACCGCAGGGAAACAGCGTTGCCATTTTTTAAAGTCGTAACCTTCAAACACCCATAACTTTCGCTAAAATGCAGTTACAGAGCTCGTAT